GAGGTCAGAGATATCCCCCTGGGCCTCAAAGTTGTTGGTCAACACTTTGGCGGACGGAGCACAGGGGTGGGGTGGGGAGACAGTAGAATGGCCAGCTCTGAATTGAGCTTTCGAGGAGCCTGAAAAACACAGCCTGATGGCCGGAGAAGAGAGGGTAGGGGGATATGGAACGACAGGGTTTGCTTTGGGAGGAGAAGGGAAAATGGGAACACAAATGAGGGAAAATCTAGCACAAGGACACTCAATAACGTCGGCAGCACTAAGGTGAATGAGCGGGGTGTTTTCTTGGGGTAGTGAGAATAGAGGAGTTTTAACAAGATGTGCCAGTATAAGCATGGAAGATTCAGCAGGTAGACAAAGACTGACAGGGCAGGAGAGAAGGTGAAGCGTGGAGGAGTGGAAGAGAGGAAGAGAGGAAATCTGAAAGAGGGTGGCTTACAGATATCGAAGGTAGGGCATGCGAGAGAAGAGAGAGAAGACATTACGAGGCGTCCACCCTTTGATGAGCTCCCCACCAGATACGTTCCTGCTAGGAGAGCGATTGTTGGGCAGAGCACACACATGCAATGCACACAAAAACATGACACACAAGACACATACATATACACACACGGCATCATGCATGTATCCACACACACACATTCCGTGCATGCATGGGCACACACACATGCATGTATGGACCACACACACAGTGCATACATAAAGAAACACACTCGCACAATCTAAAAGAAACCACTCTCCGCCCCAACAACTTGGAAACGACCCCCAAATCGCTGTTCTTATCATCGCAATCACACCTCTTCTCAGCACGCACGCACACTGAAACGATGAAGCCCCGTGGGTTGCAGTGGACGTACTCTCACTGGTCACAGCGCAACCCACTGGGCTAAGACAAGGGTGTTACTTAGGCGCAAAGGATGCCCTTAACACTAGCCCACAGGCGTTACACTCGTCCTCCCCTGGTGCCAACGTCCCCCTTGGCACTGAACTTCAGGGAGTTGGCCCTCTCGCAGGGACCTCAATTTTGCTGTACTCCAAGTAGCTACTTAGCTGATGGGGCCGAGCCAGCGGAGGATCGTTCGTTGGGTTCGAGTCGGTAACCACATTCATGTTCTCGCTACACGCGGAAAATGTGGACCAGCTGGGGTTTGAACCCTAGGCTTTGGTACCAGTATATCGCCTAGCTACCCACTGGGTCAAACCAGGAGGGCGCAATGTCCCTTAACACCTTACAGGAAATCTGGACAAGTGGGAGCAATGTGGGCGACTGTGGACACGGCGGGGGGTCGCGAGGCGGGCCGCTGTGTGTCCTCAAGAAAGGGATTTCTGGGGCGCGAATTTTGGATCGCGCGCTTTTTTAGGAGGCGCCTCAAATGGCGCGCTATATTAGGCGGCGCCTCAAAAGGCGCGACGAAGGCCGCCACGCTTACGCTGTGAGTCCTCGAGGAGGGGTCCGGCGGCGGGTGGACGCGGCGACGTAACCGTGGAGAGCTCGAGGAGGCTTGTGCGATGATGTTGTTGGGCGGAACGACTGCGAGGCTTGGCGGTGACGTGCGACCCGTGCGACTCGTGCGACCAATGGAATCCGTGCGACCCGTAGGACCCGTGGGACTTGCGAGACACGTGAGACTGGAGATACGGACGCCGCGAGATGCGCGACGGCTTATGTGAGTCGCCATACATATGCGCTGTTCCGACGGGAAGCGATGAAAGCACGACTAGTACTAGTAGCACTACTAATTCCACAGCAAAGCCAAGCGGGGTGAGCGGGCGGGGTGACGCCATGATGGAGGCAAATGAGACCTTCGCTAGCTCCCATCAGTTGTGGATACAACTCCCCCAGTTCCTCCCCACCCCTGCACCCATCCACAAGTGGTCCGTTCATCCAAAAAACCGCTAGTTCCTCCCAACCAGATGGGGTTGTGTCAACCCAAGTGGTGCACCGACCGAACAAATCCCCCGCCCTCTCCCATCCCAAACCAACCCCATCCCAACGTGGTCTTCCTGGGATATTCTTCTGCGCAACGTAAGTGCTACAGGCCAAATATTTTCTCGTCATGATGGATGTTGGAAGTTGGAACGGCCATTATCTCCGATACTCAGATTTTTCCTGAGCGCGTTCTCAGGTGTAATCACCAACAGAAACACAATTTCTCGATATAGTGTAAAGCTATTCTGGCTCATGTTTGTATACAGTCACTCAAAAAAAGGAAGTCTAGCACTTACAAAAAATAAATATAATGCCCGTACCGAACCTATATGTTTTTCGGGAAGGATCAACCCTAAACACCGAAAGCCTCCAAATATTTTGGAAAACATATTGCAACCCACTTGACAAAAAAAAAAAACCCACCTCGGAAAGGGATGCGACTCGGGAGGCATCAACCCTAAAAACAATGCCCATTTCCGTGTTTAGGGTTGACCCCTCTCGAAAATGCATCCAGGTTAACTGGGGGGTTTTATTTTTTTCTGCCATGCCCGAATAGGTCTCGGTAGCATCGTGTAGTGCTTTCGGTAGCGTTGTTTAGCGGACGGTTGCGCTACTGAGCACTACCAAGTGAATTATATGGGCTTCATTCTCTTACTACCTTAATTTCCGTACATATATCCAAGTCGGGAGGGTAAACTGGATGGTTTTGTTTTTGTAACTTCCTAATGAGTTCGACCAGCGTGAGAAATGTGACGAAAAAGCGACGACCAATCAACGTTGAGAAAGTCCAGGTTGATTACACCTGAGAATGCGCTCAGGCAAAATCTGAGTATCGGAGATAATAGCCGAAGTTGGAACGATACGCAACCTGAAACCAAGCCGCAGAATAACGGACGTAAGAATTCGATAAGAAATGTCCATATATAAAACTCCAGTGAAACGTGTAAGTGTACTTTAGAATTAGGGCTGTACGCAGCCAATTACAACTGCATAGTGCACACTTGGAAATTGTGTTCTTTAGTACGTTGTACGGTAACATCTGTAATGTCTGTGTAAATTTATAACACACAGATACACTCACTCACTCACACACACACATAAACATGCATATACACGCATACACACAAAACGTAGCTCTTGACACCCCAGACACAACGCTCGGATGGGGCTTGTAAGTAGCGGGAGGGAGAGAGCGCCCATTACCCCCCAAACGTGCCTGTAGCCCTTCCATATTATCAAACTGGCATCCCCATTGTAGGTCTTCTGACACACTCTACTGAAAAAGCAGCACGTTTAAGATGCTTCCTCGCTAATAATTCTGTGAAAGGGTCAGATTGTATAGGCTAATATGCCTTTATCTACAGGTGACTTAGCATTTTTATGTACATGCAACTGATGCATTAATGCTTGCATGCATCGTAAATAGTGCCGTAGTTACATGTACCCAGCACAAATGCCATCACAGGCCCACAAACCTAAGGCTCAAACCGAGAACCAACGATGCCTCACAAAATCGCCATGCTCGATGCGTCTTTGGATATGAGAACATGGTATATCCTGTGTGACATTACAGGGCCCATACGCTCCACTCGCCTCATCCCAGCAACACCACCGCCACCTTGACTCCCTCTCACTGCCACATCAGCATCACCAGCAGCATTGTCGCCAGCATCATCATCCCATGCATCATCAGCAGCGCTGCTGGTTGTGGTGTCCCTTCCCAGCTGTATTTTGACCATCTTGGAAAGCAGAAGCTGCTTGTCTCGCTCATGTGAGTAGAGTTGGGGGGGGGACATGGTGAGATGCACAAGTAGAGGGGAAGTGGTGAGTCACCGGCATCATCATCCCATGCATCAACACCAGAGGTGATAGTTGTGGCGTCACTTCCCAACTGTGATAGTTGTGGTGATACTTCTGGGGTCACTTCTCACAAAAGCTAGTGAGATGCACAAGCAGGGGAGGGGGGAAGTGGGGACGGGCACGACTTAAGTTGACTTGAAGCAAGGAGCACACTCATCTCGCCAAGGGAGGCTGGAGCAGTAGAGGGAGAGTGGCGAGTGCATGGAGGGGAGGGTACATGTGCATAAGTTCAAGTTGACTCACAGCAAAGAGTGCATACTGTGCATGGACAGAGGGGGGGGTGCACGCAGTTAAGTTCAAATTGACTCAGAGCCAAAAGCGCGCTTATTTGTGGGTTCAACTCACTGGGAGGTTGGAGCGGTAGACGGAGAGCAGTGAGTGCATGGAGGGATACGCGCGGGTGATGCTCATGGCGTCTCTGGCTGACACCCCTAGGATGGCCATTAGCATGCTCGCCCTGGGAGAAGCAGATGGAGAGGGGGGAAGGGGCAGGTGGGCTACAATTCTTGGCGTCTCTAGCTGACACCCCTGGGGAGGGGGGTGGAGCGGAAGGGGGCGGGTGGGTAAAAGGACACAATCGGACACAATCCTTGATCGCGCCTAGACACACGAGGGTGATGCTCATGGCGTCTCTGGCTGACACCCCTGGGATGGCCATCAGCATGCTCGCCCTGTGAGTGAGGTGGTGGGGGAGTGGGGGAGTGGGGGAGTAGGGACGGAGACCATTCCTTACGCGCTTCAACAAGTGTCTGTCGCTGACAGCAACATGCCTCGGATGGCCATCAGAATACATCAGAATATGCGCCACCAGAGAGAACGTCAAGCATGTCACAGTGTCACACCGTTACAGATACACAGCATCTGCGAAAAGGCGGTTCGCAACATTGCTTGGGCATCTGCTGTGATACAGAAGGCAAAAGAGAAGGTTCGGACAGATTGCGAGGTGGTGAAATGGTGGGCTGGAGACTCCTGGAATGCTGAAAGGGAATTCTCCTCTCCTTATCTTTCTTCCCTTCCTGCCCTTCCCCCATACCCCTCCCCGCATAACCTTTCCCTACTCCCCTCCCGGCCCCCCACCCTGCCTGCTCCCCCCTCCTGCCCACGCACCATGTGTTTCGACGGGCGGCATGGAAGAAAGGGTCCTTGGGGTTGGCAGCGCCACAGTTCTGCACTATGTGCAGGCGGCTGAGCGCAGGCCTGGGGGAGAAAATCAAGGGGACGAGGAGGGAGGGTTGGAGGGGGAGGGTGCACAAAGGTCGCGGGCGGCATGGAAGAAGGGGTCCTTGGGGTTGGCAGCTCCGCAGTTCTGCACTATGTGCAGGCGGCTGAGAGCAGGCCTGGGGGGGAGAGGTAGAGGAAGGGGCGAGCCGGAAAGGGGTGTGGAGGGGTTGAGAGGAAGGAAGCGAGTAGCGGGTGAGGGGACCTTGGGGTTGGCAGCTCCGCAGTTCTGCACTATGTGCAGGCGGCTGAGAGCAGGTCTGGAGGGGAGAGAATCAAAGGTGGTGGAGAAGGGGGGCTTAGAAGATGAGATTAAGGCAAGATCGGCCCTTGCAGTGGGCAGGGGTTGGCAGCCCCGCAGTTCTGCACTATGTGCAGACGGCTGAGCGCAGGCCTGAGGGAGAGGGAGGTTTGGGAGGGAGGTGGTGCACAGGAGTAAAAAGATGCGCTTGAGGGGTCCTTGGGGTTGGCAGCACTGCAGTTCTACACTATGTGCCGGGCTGAGTGAAAAGTCACCTGAATGCCCGACCCCACCTGCCCACATCCCACCTGCCCGCACCCCACCTGCCCGCATCTCACCTCACCTGGCCAAATTTCACCTACCGCATCCTCACCAATCCCCACCTGACCGCACCGCACCTGTACATCTTCTCGGCGTGTGCTCGGTGCATGGCGGCCACGTGCTCTGCCATGACCCACTCGTCACTGCACACACGCACTCCCACACGCGCGAAGTGCGTTGCTAGCCGTGCCAGCGCCTGGAGAGGCAAGCAGAGAGGGTGGAGAGGGTAAGGCACGGGGGAGGGCGGAGAGGGTGTATGGGGGAGGGCGGAGAGGTCGCATGGGGAAGGGGGGAGTGGGCAGGGCATGGGTGAAAAACTGATGGCTTGACGGGTTAGGGGTTGCAGAGATGGAAAGGAGGGTAGAGAGGGTGCATGGGGGAGAGTGGATAGGGCAGGACAACAAGGGTACGGGAAGAGCATGCGGGGCATGCGTGAAAAGCAGATGCAACACCACCCAGGGGTTCCAGAGAAGAGGTGAAAGGGGATTGAGCAGGGCAGAGGACGCAGTGAGGTGAGAGAGGTGAGGCGAGGGCGAGAGTGGAGGAGGGAAGGGACACTCGCCCTCACCTCGCCTGGAAAGGACATGGAAACACTACAACACGCAAAACACCTCGCTCATACACCCTCACAAATGCACCGCCCTTTCTGGCCCTATTCATTCCATTCACCACCCTCTCTCCCCCCACCTGTCCACCTCTCTCCTCGCTCCCATGAACCTCTCTCCCCTCCCCAAGCCCCCATCTTTCCCCACCCATGCACCTCGCTGCTCTCACTTGCTCCACAGCAGGTTCCTTCCATGTCTCCTTGCCTCTCTGAGCGCGCTGCTCCCTCTGCTTCAGGTATCGCCCCAGCCCACACACGAGCAGCACCACCCTCCCCTCACTCCTCCCTTCCTTCGAAGCCTCTCCAGTTCCATTTGGGTCTCACTGCTGCTGCTGCTGCTGCTGGGAATGATGGTGCTGATGGTGCTGGTGCTGGTGGTGCTGGTTTTGGTGATGGTGATGATGATGGTGATTCTTCTGCTGCTGTTGGTGTTGTTGCTCGCGAATGCCAAGCGCCCATGATTTACTCCACCATTTGACAGTGGCAGGCAACGACTTCTAGGCACAAAAGTAGTATACGCGCTTGTGTTGATGAACGCGCGCGTGTGTATTTCGCGGTCTTCTTGACATGTGAATGTTGTTTTATTCGCGCATGCAACATAAAAAAAAAATGCAACGCCAGGAGCTCGTGAACGAAGACTACCAAGAAATGTGATGTATTTTACACGCGATACGAATACCGCTGGCAAAGCGTGTGGACAAATTTGTGAAGTGATAATTGGTGAAGGGTAGTTTGTGTAGAAGCAGGTGCGAATAATGCTTATTTTAGGCGCGAAATGGTTTTGCAATTGTGTGTGTTCTGCTGACAAAAAATGGCCCCGCCCTTGTTTGGACAAAGCCGACTTCGCAATTGGATGCGCGGGAGGTGCAGCCGACTGTCCGCAGAAGTCGACGTCGACCGCTCGCAGAAGTCGACGCCGACTGCCCGCAGAAGTCGGCGTCGACCACTCAGATTGCGACGTCGACTTAGGCAAGCCGATCGACGAAGTTGTCTGGTCGAGGAGGTTCCGCGGAGGTGTTGGTTGAGCTTTCCTTGCTCGACGGGATGCGGTCGATATCGCTAGGAGAAGATACTAGTCGACGGGCTCTGCTCGACGTCCTTGTCTCGGCGAAAGCTATTCGTCGGAGCTTTGTCGAGCTCGTCGACGGAAGTCGCTCGACTGCGAAATTCGAGATGTAGGCGAGTGTTGCTTGGGAGGTTTTGGTGAAGTCAACTCACAGAACGGCATCACGTGCTCGGCGGCGCACGGCTGCAAAACCGTCGACACTTGTTCTACATGACACCTGCGCAATGTGCCTGGCGGCGCGACTGTCTCCATGCACCTACTTGGTAGGTACGCACATGCGCACAAGTTCACCTGCGTATGCAGTGTTGGCAGACCGCCGCGGTGCAATGCTGGCAGATCGCCCTGCTGTAGCGTTGGCAAGCCGCTCTTCTGCTGCGCTGGTAGAGTTCGCCCGGTAGAGGGCTTGCTAGATGTTGCTACGCCATTCTAGTTATATCGACTTGCTTGCCTCTTTGTAATCAATGCCTTTTTCAATTTCCTAGTGAAACTCTTGTCAAACTTCTCTATGAACACAACAAATAGTAAGAACGCTAGTGCAACGCTGCGATCACTTGCACAACCCCATGCCCTGCTCCGTAGTCCACCGTTGACGATGCGTGGTGTGGTGAGCGTGGACGACCCCGCAGATTACCTTAAGACTAGTAGCTCACGTATCACTTACCTAAGTCATTGTTAGGCCGGCAGCCCGTGCACACCATGCCGCCTACCGCGGAAGAGGCCGGCGTGGTAGAGGATGGCTTGGAGGCACAGTTGGCTTATGTTAGGAGACGCCATATGAACGGCGAGTACGGTGGAGCGGGCGTGGAGGCGCTGCTCCTAGGAACTCATGTGCAGTGGGCGCGCGAGCATCCGACACCCCGTGCTGAAGCGGACGATGTGTCCGCATCTCCTCGACTGGTACGCAACGAAGGCGGCGTCGACGAGCAGGTCGGCGGCGATAACCAAGCCGGCACTGACGAGGGCACGAGGATGACGAGAGAAGTGATCAGGTCCGCCGACGACGAGGTCGGCGAAATACATGCACGAGTGCAGTGGTCCACGGCAGCTGGGGGCAGCTCGCATGGCAACGTCGACGGTCGACGTCGCTCCCCGCAGAGAAGCAAAGTCAGGCCAGGCTCCTCAACGCATGCACCAACTTACGGCTATTGTAAATTTTCGCCGGACAAGATCGCCGTGCTCGTACTGCTTGAAGGTCGACGTGACCTCATCACATGGAGGGAGTCGATCGAGCCCCAGCTAAAGATTGCCGGGCTCAAGTGTTTCGCCGACGGCGACGTGGAGACGCCATACGAGGCCGATATCAAGCTGCGGGCAGAATTTTGCGCGGCTCACTTGCTGACCTTCATGGTCATCTTGTGATGCTGCTCGCCGATGGTGCAGATCGCCCCGAAGCTGTGCAGACTTCGACTGGACGCCGTCCACCAAGCGTGGCAATTCATCCTGTCGACGTACCAGGCGACCGACGACCTGTACAACGCCCAGCTAGAGGAGCGCCTGACTCACCTCAGGATGGGCGAGCAGGTTTCGGTGACAGACTATAGCAACCGTGCTCGACGGATCCTGGCCGACATGCTGATGGTTGTCGTCGACTATTCAACGGCGTCCTATGTCACGCACGTCGTCAAGGGTCTCCAGAGCGGCTACAACCTCATGCGCCGGATGATGGCGATGCTCGGCGTGTGTGAGTCCCTCAATAAGGACAACCTCACAAGCCACATCATCAAGGATGAGGCTATGAAGGAAGCTGAGCGGCCCAAGGAGCTCCTTCCAAAGGCGAACTCTGCTGCCCCGACGAAGAAGTCGCAGCGTCGGATGTCGAGCGGAGGTGGTAACGGAGGTGGGAAGTCGGCGAAGGATGCTGACCGGTCGAAGTCGGCTTGGGACAACGGTTGAGGCGGAGGTGGTCGACGGCGGGAGTGCTGGATCTGTGGCGACCCCAACCACCTCTCCTTCGAGTGCCCCGACTGCGATGAGAGCGACGACGACGACATCCGCTTGTGGATGAAGCGACAGTACAGTGCCTCCTCTGTCTGCGAGTCCTCGGAATAGCTACTAGCACCAACAAGGCGCATCCTACCGGTCGCACCAATGCACAAACAGCCATGTTGTAGTGTAGCAACATGCGTATCTAATGAAGTTTCTTGGCAGCCAATATCGCCTGCCGTGTCGCTTCCTGACAGAGGCTCTGGGATTCGGAGCACCGAGTTCTTGTACTCCGGGATTTCAAGCAACATATCATTTGAAAGTGCGGCATCAGGGTCAGGGAACTTTCACCATCAGGAGAGAAGGAACAGGGGGCAGGGGGAGCTCGCGGGGCAACAGCAGGTCCAGGGGAAGCCTGGTTTGCAGGCCTCTCGATATCAGGGTGATTCACCCTTATGACCCTTACTATAAGGGCGGGTTTGACTATGCACCCTTTTTTACAAGACTGGTTTTGTTTTAGACCCTTACAAAAAAAAGTGATCGAATATACGACACTGATATTTCAGAGCTATGTGGTGTAGTAGTACTGATGAAATCGAGTTCGACCTAAGAGAGGAGATCTGGATTCACGTCAGACACCCGCGCTCGAACTTGGGTCCTCCACATAACTGCGTCGACTCAACACGTACAAGACCATTTGTTTGATTTGTTTGCACCCTGATTTTTAAGAGCAGTTTCTGTGAAGCACCCTTACTGAAAGAGTTAAGGCTGGGTGTTGGCCTTACGAGTAAGAGTACCCCAAATCCTATCCAGAGGCCTGCTGGTTTGTCATAGTTGGTGCATCACCGTTCTGACTGGTCGGTACCGGTTAAAATTGGTGAAACAAACTCTTTTAGAGTGCACAGTGTGCATCATCATACTCATTGTAGTCAACCCAAGTCCAAGAGGACCAGAAGTGAACCAAGTCCAACCCATCTTCAGAGAAGTTCAGAGAAGTTGGTATCCACAAGCAATCACGACACTTCCTTTCCTACCGTCTGTCCTACTCGATCATCCGCCACTTCTCCGAAAGCGAATGGACGAGACTCCTGGAAGCAGACGTTCCGTTCGTTCCCTCCGACCACTCGCTCCTCCCAAACGTGTCCGTGCTGCTGCCACCGTCACCCCTCACCCCCCCTCCCTCCATTTTCAAGCTAGGCTCTGCAAGGGAGGAGTGACCGTCGGCGTCACCACAGTAGAGAGAGAGGAGGTTCTGCAGGCGGCGGGCAACGTCCTTCATGTTGGGGCGGCGCGAGGCGGGCATCTTGAGGCAGTCCAGCGCGATGTCTGCCAGCTCCACCACCGCCTCGTCCGGCGCCTCCAGCCCCGCGTCCTTCAGCTCCCCCAGCTCGTACACCTGCACCTTGCGCGCCGCCTGGGGGGTAAGAGGGGGGATATAACAAGGGATGATTGTGAAATGCCCCATCGAGTACACAGCAGAGGGCGGAGGGGAAAAATTGATGCAGGAGAGTAACGAGGAGGCTAGCTCATACACATGCACCAATTCAACGAGAGAGAGGTTGCAGAACGCAGGGTGAAAGAGATGGCTTTTGAATATTCTTGAAGAAATCATAGCAGCCGAGATAGTTCTTGAGTCGACTCTGTAAATACAGTGTGAATGAGCAGAAGGCGGCGGCAAATGAGTGAGAGAGGAGGTTGCACTACGGGAGGCATTGGAGCAGAAAGAGAAGTGGAAGTGTACTTCGGGCATGCCGTCGTTTCAAACGGCCTTGCTTTCTCCCCTGCTTAACCTAGGAACTCATGGAATTCACCAGGTCTTCTCCCACCAGGTGTGCTCTCCACAACAGGTGCTGGTTGCCACGCATACATGCATGCACTCACCCAGTCACTGATGTGGCTGTCGGTGCCCTCCACGGCTGCCTTCTGCCTTGTCAGCAGCTCCAACAGCACCACGCCAAAGCTGCTCCAACGATTTTGGTTGGGCGGATTTTGGGCAGAAAAGGGAAGGGAAGGCACGAGGAAGGAAGAGAGGGAGGAATTGCGCTTCTTGAATGATAGTGAATTGCGCGAGGCGGACCACGCGACGGAAGGGCATGGGGGGGAGAGAGCAGGGAGTTTGACTTGCAGGCAGCACAGCTTGCTTCAATGCAGTTCATATACTGCACACCAAACCTAGGGCATGGGCACCTGTAGACGTCGCTCTTGTCGGAGACGACTTGCGTGCGGTTGTAGTCGGGGTCGAGGTAGCCCGGGGTGCCGGCCACTCGAGTGCGGTCGTCACCACCGTCGGCATGGCTGAGCAGCTTGAGCAGCCCAAAGTCGGCGATCTTGGCCTTTTTGTGCTCGCCCACCAGGATGTTGCCGGGCTTGAGGTCGCGGTGCACGATGGGCGTCGCGAAGCTGTGCAGATATGCCACTCCCTCCGCTGCCCCCACCGCCAGCTGCAGCCGCTGCTTCAGGGTCAGGGGCGCTAGGGGAGGGGCGGGGAAGGGGGAATGGAGCGGGAAAAACGAAACAAGAGAAGCCGGAAAGGAACCGAGCCAACATCAAGAAAAGGGCGAGTGGCAAATCTGCAGTTTCAAGCAAGAAGAGCGTACACTTGGAGTCGTGGATGTGGTCCTTGAAGAGCACATGGAGAAAGAGCGTTCTCTTAATGTTGTGGATGTGGTACTTGAGGACCAACGAGTTGAAATGGGAGCAAATTTTTAAAGTTGTGGATGTGGTACTTGAAGAGCACACGGAGAAAGAGCGTTCTCTCGGAGTCGTGGATATGGTAGTTGAGGTCCCCATTGCGCTCACTTAAATCTCTTCACAGAGCTTACTCTTTGAGTCGTGAATGTGGTACTTGAGGTCGCCATTGGGCACGAACTCGTAGACGAGGATCTGCTCCTGCTGGCCGCTCTCCACGTTCTGATGCAAGCAGAAGCCCAACAAGCGCACAACGTTCTCATGCCGCAGTGACGCCATCGCCCGCACCTGCCGGTCGTTGAAGGGAGTAAAAGGGGTCTTAAGTAGAACAAAATGATGTTATATCCCAGTGGTTTGTGGCTGGGGTTTTGACATGTTATCAGAGCGAATGTCTCGGGTTCGAATCCCAATGTGTGCACATGCTGGCGGCCATGTGTCACTGCCGTTGTGTCATCTCATAAGGCATCCCAGTGAAAAGGGGGGAATCAGAAGACCTGCACTGGGGATCCTCGATTGATCCTTGGAAAGGTTATAGACACGCTTGCCTGGGGGGTTATGGGCGCACTCACCCACTAGTAAACAAGTCATTTTATCCCAATGGTTAGTGGCTGGGATTCTGACAGGGAACGGGTGTGTGGCACTGAGTGCTGATGCAGGCAACACCTGACTGACAGTGAAAGGGTACCAAAAAAGCACGGCAGGATCAAGCAGACCTATGGGAACATGAAGGAAAGTGACCAGCCAGTCTGGAAGCAGAAGTTTTCTTTCCCCACCTCAGTCTCGAAGTCGTTGGACATGAGTGCGATGCGCTTGACAGCCCAGAGCTCGCCCTTGGAGGAGACGCCCTAGTAGACGGTGGCAAAGCCGCCCTTCCCCAACACATTACTGCTCGCCCAGTTGTCTGTCGCCCGCAGAATCTCCCCCATGCTGAACTCCTGACACACGTCCAGGTCGCTCCACCGCCCTGCCATGCCACACCGCACAGCATGCCAGAACGCTCATCAGCACGCAACAGATAATTATGCTGCACGCAGGTTCCTCACGTCTAAGTGCACTGCACACACGCAAGTGCACATTCTGCTGCTACAGATGCAGTAGAGTTTGGCCATCAGCACACAAACGAGTGCACAGCTGGCTGCTACAACTGCAGTAGATTCTGAATTTTGAAAAGAGCAGAAAAGGGGAAGGGCCTCACGGCGTTGGCGGGGCCAGAGAAGCGCAACAATGAGAGCGAGGAGGAGAGCAAAGGCGGCAGCAGAGCCCACAGCGATGCCCACCACTGCGCCCGTGGAGAGCGCTGGAGAGGCAACGGGCGGATGGGGAGGGCAGACAGGGAGGATGGAGAACATATAGTCGTCACACAACTCATCAATTACAAATATGCACGCACGCACACACACGCACGCACACATGCACCCACGCACGTAAAACAAAACAAAACAAACAAAACAAACAAGCAAACAAACAAACAAAAAAAGCCCGGCCCATCACAGGGCATACCTGCAGCAGGGGGCGGAGCAGGGCGGGCGCAGGTGGAGCCGAGGGTGCTGTTGGTCGTGACAAAGCCGTCGTCGCACTCACACGTGAAGCGCGCCTCTGCTGCCCCCGCCTGCGGCGGCACACACGCTCCGTGCCCATCGCACGGCCCCAGCTCCCGCGACATGCTGCAGAATGCCAGGCACTCGTCGCTGCTGCGCTGCGTCTCGTTCGCCGTGCACTCCATCTGCTTGTTCAATGTGAAACAGTTCTCCCGCAAGCTCGCCTGGCCGCGCTTGTCTGCTGCTTGGGCTATGTCCGTGATGTAACCTTGCATGAAACGGAGTGCACAGCGACTTTCCCCAGGAAAAAAGAGTTCACCTCTGTCCAAACGATGAGACTGGGTGATTTGGGAGGGGCAGAATTGGCAGCCATCGGCGTAGAGCATGCGGTCGCCGTAGAAGAAGTTGCCTGCGATGTTGAGCAGAGCGCCGTTGTCAGGAATCATGCTGCGGAAGTTGCTGTTGATTGGGCCGTAGAAGCTGTTGTTGCTAATGTCGCTGGAGGGAGTGGAGAGCGGTGGAAATGGCAACATGTGAGAACAAGATTGGTGTGAGCATTGGGTGTGCATCCAGTGTCATCCGTCTAGTGTCATCCAGTGACATTTAGTGTTATTCAATGGCATACAGTGACATTAAGTGACATTTAGTGTCATTCACTTTCATCCATTCTCCATAAGCTGACTGGCACATGAGCATCTGCGTGCGTAGATGGACAGAAAAGGGTGCATGGGGATTTTTCCTTGTAAGCTGACTGGCACATAAGAAGGGTGCATGGGTCATTTTTTGCATAGATGGCAATTACAAGAAGGGTGCATGGGTCATTTGTAAGCTTACTGGCACATGACCATCTGCATAAGAAAGGGTGCATGGGTCAACAACACTGCCCACTGCTCACATGCGGTGGTGACAATGTTCAAAGAGGCAAGAAGGAAACTTCCCGTAGAAGGAGTTGTTGTGAAGAAACCTGAAAGCAACGCACATGGATGTTTCAACATGAGTCTTTTCAAAGCACACAGGGCTTGTATAATAAGTTGGAGGATGACCAAACACACCTGGGATTGTTATGGTCTTCAAAATTTTGTGTGTGAAGCATGTGATATTGAAGCATATATGACAGTGTACAAAGCACCATAACAGCTTTATGTTGACTACTATTGAGATCTGGAAGCTACTATGCACACCTTTAATTCACACTTAACAGTCCCCACGGGGTCACCTCCAAGGGTCCTTGGGTGCCTGGCAAGGCCAGCCCCTAACCAAGGGTCCGTGTGTTGTAGAGGGACACGCCAAGTATGAAAACGATCATGTGCAATAGAGCATTCTCAGAACTCCTTGCGCAGCGTTATGACGACGAACTGGTCGTGTGGAGAAAGTTCTCTTCACGTCAATACGATGATAGAGAATAACTTCACTCAAAAGGATTGATTACAACTGAACACAAGCACGCATTTATATTTCGCCTAGCACACAAGCATAAGAAAGCACAAAGCAGTTGTTTAACTATACTTCAGGACTTCGCCAGATGCGCCAAGGAAAACGGTTGTCGAACTGCTTGGTTCTCCCCTGTAGAATAACTGTCTTCAAATTTCATGTCTGCCAAATTCCCCTGCTGACTCCCTCGTGAACGTTCGCGACTTCTCGTGCGCAATCATAAACGCTCGTGTGAGATTACCGTTTTCACGAAGTCTCACAGTTGAAAAACGGCTTTCACCGTTTTTCTCCTGTATCGAAATTGTCCCTTTACGCGCGCGATCTTTCCAGCGAAGTTACCTGTAAGTCGAGTCAACGCGGGATACGGATTTTCAACCGTAATCCCCAGCACCCCCACGACTGCAATCATGCACGACCGATATTTCAGTCGTGCTGTACAGTGCGCTGTACTGCGCGTGGGCAGGGCGATCATTCGCACTGTCCTGTTGCGATCGTGGGCCATGCCACGCTCGCAACAGTGCGAAGGCACACGCGCGGGCCTAAGGGCCCACACGCGCGATCAAGACCCCACGCGCGGGTCCCGATTTCCTCGCGCTGTTGACCTTGACCATCGCGAGAATTCTAAGGGTCAACATTGACCCCTCGTGAACACCCACGATACTTCATGAGCACACACGAAAACAGAAAAACGAAAACTAACATGAACACTCACAAACATTCATGAACAGCGCACAGACTTCACGGAATTTCACGAACACAGTCACGAACACAGAAATTCACGAACACAGAATTAACACACGCTTATGAAAACTCGCGAAGCAACGCAAACGCACACGAAGTCTCGCATTCACACACGGACCTTCACGAACACTCAGGAACGCAACCTTTCACGGGAACTCACATAACTCATGAACCGTTGAGCCGATTCACGAGCCGTAAACACAGAAACGTGAAGCACATAAATGCGCAACTCACACACAACAAATTACCTTGAGACGAAACACCTCACTTTCACTCAATGTCAACACATAGGCGGTAGGTTGTCGTGCAAACTATGTATTGCACTCAACACTTTATATATATATATATGTATATATATATATATATTCAGATGCGAAGTGCACACAGGAAGGCTGGTGAACACTCCAGCTAGATTTGAAGCAGAATGAAGCAAATTGTGGCTTGGTCAGAAGGCAAGGGCATGGCCGGAATGCATTACATGGTCTGCAAGTTGGTGAGGTCACATATGGAAGAAGGGAGCTTTCCAGTGAGCTGGTTCCCAAATACAGACCTGCCAACACCATGGAGAAACAATTGATGCGAGTAAGAGAGCGAGCGAGAAAAAAGCAGGAATGACTTAGGGTATGCGCGTGTGGATATGCTTGATCTATTTTTTTTTGGCCTTGTGGCTTTGAACCTATGGCATGTTCGCACACAACTTGGAGAGCGAGCATACGGAAAAAGGAACGAGCACTTGGAATTGGAGTCATGGACGTTAATCTATCGTGAGACAAACGAGTGCATATTCGGTAAGGTAGTTCACAGAGTATGGAGGTTGGAGAGGGCGCCAAGTGCAGAGGGCAACGATCCCGACATGTTGTTGGAAGAAAGGTCTCTGGTGGGGGTGCATGGAAGACACACAAACACGAGGGAGTGACACAGTGACGACACAGCAATGAGAATGAAGCATGCTGTACTATAGAAGCTGGCAATCAGATGGATCCAGATGCACGTGGGTGGCAGGCAGGCAGACCAGTATTATCATGTTACAACATAACATACAATGGCTTAGAAATGAGCTCAGAACGAAGCGGCATGAAGAATGGTAAAAAAACGGGAGCAAAGCAGTGTTTCATTACATGGCCTAAAGTCCGGTCAAAGCTAGAAGCGATGAAGGAAAGCTTCCAGAGAGCTGATTTTTGCGCAGTGAACTGCAACGATCATAAGAACGGGTTGGTTGGATTATGGATGGCGACAGCACAAGTAAGTAGGGTTGAGCAAAGTATCAGACAGCAATCCAAAGCGCTTGATTTGGGCCGCCAAGTCTTGACCATGAGTCTTGAGTCGCGTTAAACCGCAACCTAGTCAAGTCAAACCAAACCGCTGGGGCGCTCCCGCTTCAACTTGAACCCTCAAAGGTTTGAGCACAAGTGTTGAAAATCAAACCTAAACCACAACCATTTCGGTTCAACCCGAACCGAAGTGAGTCGGTTCGACTAGGGTGAATTTCACCAGGTCCAAATCGAACTGGTTCAAGATCAGTATTTTCTCAATCTGGGAAATAAGTAGCAAGCTGTTATAATCTGCTTCACGCTTCACACTTGTCCCTACTGTAATGAGACATTACAATAGGGGAACCCCATGTATCTTGAACCTGTATCATGTCTCCTTTCCATCGCCAGTCAGAAGTGAACCAAGCTATCGGGGAACCCCATGTATCTTGAAACCACAGCAGAGAAAAATACTCGCAATTGAACTGGCTCAAGGTCGCACGTGGCTTGAATACCGTGTAGCAAATTTAGAGAGCAAAGCAAAGCACCATTCTGTGGTAGTGCTTGCAACAATCATTGGAGCACCGGCAGAGGAACGCTCACAGGGCAATCACAGAGGTGAGAGCGCTGATGGAGTCTGGAATAGACCCTGTGAAGTTGTTGCCTCCTAGCATCCTGTTTGCACATGCGGCCAACACGAACCTCACTTGAAAGAGATTTTAGAATTCGAAAAGGAAGCTTAATGTGGAAACAATGTAAGAAGACATGCTGCACGTTAATGTGGCATCCTTGGAGGCATAAGAAATAATATTGCGTTTTTGGAACCACTTCCACTTGTCCTTATCATTTCTTTTCAAGGTATTGTTGGTGCGGGCAGCTTTGGCCTGTGATGATGTGATCGGCTCGGCTCACTGACATTACGGTGATTGGCGCCTTCCAGAGGGAAAAATCAGGAAGGGAGCCTGAAAGCTCATTCCCTTGAAGGTTCCTGCAAGTCAATTAGTGGTCAGCCAAGAAATCCAGAAGCAGCAGACACAATTGTTAATTAACGAACCAATCCAATTAAGAAAGGAGCTCAATGGGGCCAATGGCGTGTCAGTGCCATAAGATGAATGAATGACAAAACTTACAAAATGTTGAGGTAACTGTATGAGAAAAGTGGCAAGGTTCCACTCAGATGGTTGTGTTCCAAGGTTCTGATTGGTGCGCAATGCGCAAAACAGCCACAATGCAAACAGCAGAGATTTATTGCGATTGGTCGAGAGAGTGCTGTGTTTTGATTACGCGTGGAATGAACACCTAACCCCGCGATTCAAATCCACTCACACTCGATGGAGGCCCTAAAACGAACTGAACCACACACTATAGTGATATATTGTTTCCCTAATATCTCAAATCTAGAACGGTTTTACTCAAACAACTGTGAGAATGCTTAGAAAATGGCAGAGGTTCAGCGTAATAGTCTAGATGCGCGCTGGACCTCAAATGGATTTTTATTATTATTAGATATTTATACATACCTCAAACAGCACATGCACAATCCGATTCGCACGGCCGGATTCGACGCGACTCTGCATGTGGCCAACTCAAATCGGTCGAACCGGTTTGAGTCAAACAAGAACCGGTTTGCCTCAACAAACCAACAGTGAGACCCTAAAAAAAAAACAAAAAAACAAAAAAACAAAAAAAAAACAAAACAAAAAACGATTCATGGATGTCAGCTTACACTTCAGCTAATGGAAGTGACAACAACGCTGGTGGAATCTCCGCATGAAAGTTGTTTCGGCCAAGATTTCTGCAACCAGAGATAGGGAACTCAAGGTCTGCATATGTGAAGAGCTTTTCTACAGACAAAATATATATGTTGTTTTCTTACTCTTGCCAACTTCGGGGTATGATTCGGGGTATGTGGTATCTGTTGAGTGCGAAATGTGGTTTGCACGTCAACCTACCGCCTATTCGCCAAGGGTAAAGGAAAATGAGACTATTTGTTTAAGGTAATTTGTGGAGTGTGAGGAGCGCTTTTGCGTGCTGTACATTTGCGCATTTACGGTTTGTGAATCGCCTTAGCGGTTCATGAGTTATGTGCATTTCTGTGTGTGAGTGCATTTCATGAATGTTCATGAGTTTCCGTGAGAGCGCATGAAAGTTCGTGAGTTTCGGTAAGATCGCGTAAGTCTGCGATTGTTCATGAGTCTGCGTGTGCGCTCATTGTTTCTCATGTGTTTTCGTGAGTTTTCATGAGAGTTCATACTTTTTGTGAGTTTTAGAGTGTGGCGAGTGTTTTGTCACTTTGACTATTTCGTGCTGGTCAAGGTCAACCGAGCGCGAATGTCAGGGACCCGCGTGTGGGGTCCTGGCACGCGCGTGTGGCCCTTCAGGCCTCGCGCGTGTATCGTGGCACTGTTGCGAGCGTGGCAGGGCCCACGATCGCAACAAGACAGGGCACATTACTGCCCTGTCCCGCGCCAGGACAGCGCACGATCGCGTACGCGATTGTCCTGTCTTGCATGACCGAGAAATATCTCGGTCATGCTGGCTGGCACGTGGGGAGCTCGGATTTACAGTTGAAAAACTGTATCCCGAGTTGACTTGGCAAGCATGAACTTTCGCCAGAAAGTCACGCTACTTTGCGTGATCATTTCGAGAAGGTTCAAAACGGTAAATTTCGTTTCACAACGAGAAAACGGTTTTCCCACACGAGGCTTCATGAATGTTAACAGAAATTCATGAGTGCTCGCGAAGGGAGTCAGCAGGGGCATTTGGATGAAGTGTTATTTGAAATCAATTATTCTAATGAAGCGGATCAAGCCAAATGCAGCTGAAGTTTGACAATCGTTTTACCAAGACAACATGGCAAAGTCCTAGATTACAGTTGTATAACTGTTTAATGTTTGCCTTGTGTCTCCTTTGCTCGTCCATTAGACTTTCTATAAATGTGTGCTTGTGTTTGATTGTAATCAACCTTTTGTGCAACCCTTTCGAGTGAATATTTTCTCTATCGACGTATTGACGCGGGGAGAACTTTCTGCATACGAGCCAATCAGACGTTATTGCTTCCGCACATGAGTTTGGGAATGCTCTAAGAGCACACGGCGGTTTTCATACTTAGGGAATCCCTCTACAAACACGGACCCTTGGATAGGGGTTGGTTTTACCAGACACCCAAGGACCCTTGGAGGTGACCCCGTGGGGACTACCTAATGTGATTTAAAGGTGTGCTAAGAGCCTCTAGTTCCCATATAGCTGTCAACAGTATCCAGCTTCAGTTGTGTGCAGAATCACGTCGCTTGCACTAACGGTGATGAAATTAATATTTTTAGTAATAACAATCTTGCAACACCTTTGGCCTAATGACGGTTCTAATTCTGTTTCCTTAGCATAACGCCTTAAGTCGAGCCTCAGATCAGAAAGACACACCTCCAAGAATCTTCAAAACGAATCCAATTTGCCCTGTCAATCCCACGAGCTGCACTACTCATGCTACACGAGTTGCACTGCTTCACACACCCATACTACACCACCCATGCTACGCTGCTGATTTGACATTTTAGAAATCTAACAAACGTAGTGTTTTACTGTGTTCTGGGAAAGGGTTACTGACAGATAGTGCAGGCTTTCCATCTTAGAGATGTCACTGGGAATGGTCCCATTAAATAAATTCCGGCTGATGTCTCTGTGATGGAAAGACACATTCGAAAGAGGGTTGATGTTGAGAACATATACAATTTTGATACGAAATGTTTGCTCAAATGAGGAACTGCTTTGGAGGAGTCAAGGTAAAGACAAAATCACAGATGTGGTGAACGAAGTTGTAAATACAAGAAAAATATAGAAGTGACTGAAAATACATCAAGCGTTCTCAATTTGTGAGAGTTGGGTTTGCCACAGGCTTTCTTAGCAAAGCAGCCAACTGTACGCTCGCGATGTCTCACTTGAAGTTTGCCAATTCGATCAAAATTAATGTTTTTTTTCTTCTATCTTTTTTCTTCTTCTTTTTCTCTTTTCTCCTGTTTCTTCTGCACATGCTGTTCAGAATTGTTCTGGTCAGGGGTATTGTGTTTTTCAAGCAACTCGCATTTTCAAGTGTTCGTTTTAAGCGGTTCGATGCTAAATGATCACGTGGCAATGCGCATAGACTTTTCCACCACCATGAAATCCAGTAACTGCCCTGCCTGCCACCAATGCAAAACAGATTGATCAGCAAGCTAACATTAGCCCCTACGCATGTGAGAACGTACAGGGAAGCAAGGTTGGTGAGCTTCAGCAGGACTGTGGGGAATGACCCTTGGAGATTGTTGCCTTGCAGAGTCCTATACAAGTAAGAAAAAGAGGTGACATGGGGTGTTGGGAAGTGACTTAGGAGAATACAGGCCGTCAAAACCTCATTCGTGAGAATAGTTACTGGGGTTGAAAAGCAGACAAAGAACGATTGGTACATAAATCATGTTAAAGCACAGTCAGCAGGTAACATTGTAGTCAAGAACTGCAGGTAACATTGTTTACAATGCAGTCAAGAACTGCATTGTAAAGAAGCAACTCACAATGTATTGAGTTGTGAAAGGAAAGAGAAGCTTGAGTAGCCATGAATGAAATTGTTAAAGGATACATCCCTGCAATGCAAACACAGGCACACCAAGTGCATCACAGCAATCGAAACAATTTTGCATGCATCACTCTTGCCTGGAAAAAAACAACACCGATCACCGGATATCAAAATGGAAGGGGGCAGGCCCAATACTAAGAAACAGCAAGAAATGACAACTGCAACACATTGTGTTTTGTCGTCTCAATGTGCTGGGTGTTGTCGGTTTGAAAGTGTTGGGTGCATATATTATTTTGCACGTCAACCAGCCGCCTTCATATAATTTCGCATTTTATGATTTCGTGAGTAATTCACGCGCAATTTGTTTTTGCATTTCACTTCATTCGCATCCTGTTGATTACAGAAATACCTTTTCTGTAATTCAATCTGCCGATTTAAGGTTATGGTTCAGGTTCTGTAACTGGAGCTGAATGGAGCGGCGAGTCTGGTACAACCGAGGTGAAGTATAGGCTGGTCTTGACCAATGGGAGCGGTTGGTGGTGTTCAAGGGGCGAGTCTGACTTTTTGGTTTTGAGCGAACTGTTTTGGAGGTTCTGATTGGCTGTCGTTCGAAATGGTAGTTGCTCATGAGTTCGAGAGAGCAGCTGCTCGCGCTGCCACTGTTCGAGGAGCGAGATTGGTCCTTGCTCGTGCAGCGTGTTCGTTAGCGCGTTCGTGAGCGTGTTATTAGCGTGTTCGTTAGCGTGTTCGTGAGTGTGCTCATTAGCGTGTTAATTACCGTGCTCAGTAGCGCGAGGGTCATATGCTCACGAATCGTTTTTCAGCGCAGGTGGGTAGATCACCAAGATTTCGAGTAAGTTCGGTTGCTCACGTATTTTTGGCAGCACTGTCGACAGTTCGGATCGAAAGTAAGTTCGGAACGAGGGCACGTGGCGAGCAGCAGTTGAGCGATCGAATGCAATGCCGATCGCCACCGACATTTCGACTCGTTCAGGTTTCGAACAGACTTCATCGCAACCGTTCGAGATTGGCGCGAAGTGAAATTATCGGATCGGCACCGTCAGCAATGTTCGCGCGCGAAAGACGAAATATTTCGACGACGCATCGAGTGCGCGCCAGGTCACGAAGGGAATGGGAGGGAACCTAAAAATCTGCTCGCGCTACGAGGTGTGAATTTGAAACACCTAGATCAAGGTAGGAGTAGAAAGATTTAGCTTAGTATAAAACCGGTTGTTCTTGTTGTTCCAAAATATAACTCGAGTGAAGGATTTCTCCTGTGCCTGCTGCAAGTACGCTGCTATAGTAAATTCTCTTGACAACGCCAAGGAAGCGACGATTGCTACTACACTTTAGCTGTTGCTACGACTCTCTCTCTACACACTCGGACCCTTGGATAGGGGCTGACCTCGGCCAGGCACCCAAGGACCCTAGGAGGTGACCCCGAGGAGAGAGTTCAAGTGCCACCTAAAGCTTGTTAGTAGCTAGCTTAGTACGTTTTAAGACTAACACATTCATCGAGAGCTCATATTCATTCGTAAAGGCTCATGACAAAATGCCGTGAAAGTCTATGAGTGTTCATATTGCGTTCATGTCGAGCAAGCACTATGAAAACTTGTGAATTATTCACGAGTCCCCACAAAGCGAGACCCATGAAGAGTCACGGGTGTTCACAAAGGGTCATTTTGAACCCTAAAATATTTTTCCTGGTGGTCAAGGTCAACTGCGCGCGAAAATCAGGACCCACATGTGGGGTCCTGATCGCGCATGTGGCCCCACAGTGCGCGCGCGTGTGTGGGCACTGTTGCGAACGCGCACAGTGCGCACGATGGCAACAGGGCATGGCGAATAATCGCTCTGCCCTTGCGCAGGAAAGCGCACGTTTGTGCGTTGTATGGCACGACCGAAAACAAGTCGACCGTGCATGATTGCTGTCCAGGGGTGCTCGCTGACTTGGCGAGCATGATATTTTCGCTAGAAACGTAACATGACAATTTTGATACAGGGACAAAAACGGCGAAACTCGTTTTTCAACTGTAAAGCTTCGTGAAATATTTCCATACAGGTCTTCAAGAATAGACATGCAAATCCATGTGTCTTCGTGTGCAGAGTCAGCAGGGGAGTTTGGAAGATGTATATGTTGAAGACAGTTTTTCTACAAAGGCTTCAAGCTAAATTCCGCTGAAGCTAGACAGCCGTTTTCATTGCAGACCTGGCGAATTCCACGAAACATTGTTTAATAACTAATTGTGTTCCCTTTGCTAGTGTTTTGTTTTCCTATGAATGCGTGCTTGTACTTGCTTGATGAGAACAATGCAATCTCGCTTTCATTTTGAAATTCTACAAATACGTATTCACGAGAGTAGAAGCGATACGAAGTATTGCCGAAACGCTGCTTGTTGCTTTGAATTTTTACACCCTTGGCTAGGAGGTAACATGCTGTCACACTCGAAGGGTCTCAAGTGGAGTACGTAGAGCTAGGCCTGGTCTTAATAGTTAAGAAAGCTCAACAGAAAGCTCACAGCTTCGAGTTGCAAATCGAGTCCTAACATCTGCAAGTATCTCTGAGGCACCTCGCAACTTGACTTCAACACATACAACGTTATCAGCCATGTCATCTCGCCCAGCACCTCGAGCCCTGAGCTTAGCTGGTTGGATTGAAGCGATCTGGAACAGCCACGCACATGAGGCAGCAAGCATCATCAGGTGGCAAAAGAGCAAGGGCAAGGAGGGCCAAGGGACGAGAGAAAGGAGGGCGGAAATGAATGTCGAAGCGCTGCCACCCTGCATCGGCACAGTAGAGAGGCTTGAAAACGAATAAGAACCATTTCAGTCACTTATTTTACATGTCAGTCAGATGGGTGGGGTGGGGTACTGTATCCGATCAAGAACACCTCAACGGACCTTTGCCTCGCTCAGCAGAAGCCAGAGATTCACATCACATGTGCATAGAGCACGCACAAATACTTAGCCAATATATTTTCCAACCTAAACACTATTCACTCTGAGTATCCTCCAAAACTGCTCAGAGCTGGTTTTCAGCACAGACCTGAACCCCCAACACTTCCGTGTTGCGGCTGGAAATGCATGTGGTGCACTTCGTTATCATGCATACACCCTACGTTAGGGTTGAATATGGTGGTGGGCTGGGCCCAGCCCGGGTCGGGTCAGCCCGTGCTCAACCCTACCCTACGTTCTTGCCCTAACAATTCCAGTGGTAGTGTAGTGTTTGCTGCAGTAACAATACAGATATCTCTTACATGAACATGAGATTGGAAAGGTTGGTGAGAGATCTTGGCACGGCCCCTGAAAAGTTGTTCACATTGAGGTCCCTTTAGGAAGGGAGGGGCACAAAAGTACAGTTTTATGCTTGTATCATGCGGCGGCTAATGCAGCATGGATGTATGGTTTGGCATATGGATGAATACTCACTGTAACATGTGGCTGAAAAACACTCATGCCATATAACTGGATACTCACAAGTTTGTGAGGCCCGAGAATGTGCCCATGAAGGGTGGGATGGCGCCAGAGAAGTGATTCTCAGAAAGGTCACTGGCATCACAGCAGAGGAGAGAGCCACATGTCCGAAACCGTTGAGCAAACAGCTTTGCAACAGCTTTGCACCAGCATAGCAACCGAAGAGCAACACCATAGCAACCCAAGAAAGCCAGAATAAAAAGAGATACACCGCAACATGAAAGACACAGGGGGGGAGACAAGAGAAGGTGGGGAAGACACAGGGATGGCATGGGGGCGGGCAAGGGGGCGGGCATGGGGGCGGGCCTGGGGGCGGGCATGGGGGCGGGCATGGGGGCGGGCATGGGGGCGGGCATGGGGGCGGGCATGGGGATGTACAGATCCTTGAGGGTGGCGGAGAGGACGGGTGGGATGGTGCCGTCCATGGCGTTCTTTCCCAGCATCCTGGTTCACAAGCATGGGCGGGAATGTTTGAGAAACGTCAGTTCTTGCCCACATGGGCCAGGACAAAGTCAAAAAACGGGGAGGGGGGGGTAGGTGTGGGAGAGGAGAACAGGGCGTGGCGCGGGAAGGAGGAAGGAAAATAAGGGGGGAGGGAGAGGTTGGGTTGGGTAAAGAAAGACGGGTCACGGGTGCGGGAGAAACAGGGGGGTGAAGCCGCTCGTTGAGGGAGGTTGCTTACAAGTTCCAAGCATCGCACAAATACATGGACTAATGGGATGGGGAATCAACAAAGCCTCCAACATTTACGGTTGATGCTGACATGTTTGTTTGTTTTTTTTTTTTTTTTTTTCTAATCCTTCACACGGTTATTCTCCCAACCAGCCCCTTCTTAGCTTCCAAAGTTGCATGCAAGGTACCGCAATATTCCAAGAGTCATTTCTGATTCTTTATAAGCCCATCATGTACTTGAAGGTGTTCGAGATAAACCTTTGTAAGCCCGGATTCACACGGGTCGGCTGGGTGAGTGAGAATACAGCCTGACTTGGTCCTACCCAGTTTTGGCCCACCATGACATACGGCCTGATTAGGTTTGACCTGTGCAGCTGCGCTCATGCCTACAATGTGCTCAGCGTTGTGAGAGCAGCGAATGTTGATGGAATGGAGCCCTCAATGCTGTTGTAAGTAAGGGATCTGCGCAAAAGCAGGATGGGAATGGAATACAAAACAGCGTATGTGAAATAGGAGTTTAGGTGGAGCGAGAGGAAGGTGAGACGAGAGAGAGAAAACCACTGGCTGAAGGAGATGCGATGAGAAGCTATGAAAAGCTATGACAAATTTTGAGTAGATGACAAGCTATGACAAAAATTGAGTAGCTATGACAAGCTATGAAAAGCTATGAAAAGCTATGACAAGCCATGACAAGCTATGAAAAGCTATGAAAAGCTATGAGTGGCGAAGAAATGGCAGGCAATAGGGCCTGTTTTTTTTTCATACAATGAGGTGCAATGCAATGAGTTGAGTAGCATAGCACAGAACGAAATTCACTCATACAAAAAAGGGGGAGTTGGAGCTGAGAGTGTAAATGTCAATTTAAATTTAACCACAGGTGCCAAAAGCAATGCTTGCAAGAGAATGAGGCAAGGCTCACAGGAAAGTAAGGTGCTCCAATGAGGTCCAGTACTCTGGGAGAGTTCCTACCAGCCCGTTGCCTGTCGCATCACTGCCATTCAGAAACGAGGCGCAAGCACCATACATGGGGGTCCACTAATGGCAGCTTCGTGGAAAGATTGTGAATTCTCTCGCATGCTGAAAACTCATAGGCCGGAAAGTCCTTCCTTGGCTAGGAACTCCTTAACTATCAGCACATAAAAAGAGCTGCCATTTCGAATCCATGGGCTTATCGTTGCAACTCGCCCGAGCCAGTCCGTTCGAGCAACTCACCCACCAGTCACGCAGAAGAATTCCCCACTAAGCTTAAGTATTTCTTAAAGTAACAGCTGCTGTTTCACAGATTCTCTTTCAGCCCATACTAAGTTGGTCTCTTACGTTTTTTGAGGTCTCGTAAACGTAAATTTCGCGTAATTTAGCGTAAACGTAAACGGAAACGTAAAATTACGCGTAAGTATGAGGCGGGCAGGAAAAAAGAACTAATGTGATATAATTTTTTTCTGGATTGTGTACGGGTACCAGATCCTACCACTAATTTGTCGTGTACCTGCATAGAAGAGCGCCTTTCAAGTCTGTGAAAGTTTCAGATTCAGCGTTGACCGGGTTAGTAAGAGAGAAACACGATAGGTTGCGAACGAGCTGCTAGGTTGACGTCGAACAAGATAGCGAGTTACAGAACTAGGTTGGAGGGAATCTTCCTGATGCTCTGGTCGTTTTTTTTCCTCGGGCAGCTCAGAAAAGTTTTTAGGTGACCGTAAACGTAAGGCCGAATCAGGGCGACCGTTCGTAAACGTAAAAATTGTCGTAATCGTCCGAAAACGTAAGGAACCGAAAACGTAAGATCCAACTTAGAGCCCATAAACATGTGCAGCAAGGCCCACTGCCACAGTTTCTTGAAAATTTAAGGCCTGAAGGCGGTTGGTGGTTGGAGTCTGAAGGCACTCGTGATCAAGGGCGCAAATTTCAGGGTGCAGCCCAGAGGCACTCACAAGTGTTGCAGTTGGTTGAGGCGGGAGAGGTCTTGTGGCACCACTCCTGTGCGGAGATCGCTATTGTGAGCTGCATCTCTGGCAGGCATGAATGGGATGAGGAATGGAAGGGCAGGGTGAATCCCTATGTACAGGCTCCTATAAAGAACAAAGGAATCCCTATGTGCAGGTATTAGCCGTTTTGCTCAGGATTTGATGGTCCCTGGCCGTGAAAAATACTATCCGCTGACGTCAGGATAAACAAGGAAGAGGACATGCAAAGGACAAGCGTCCAATCCAACAACCCCCCCCCCCAAAGAAAGAACAAAATTAAATTACTGTAAGTGTGGAGCTATCAACTGCGACACTTACTAGACATAGTGTGACGTGCGTGCGTGCATGCTTACAGGTAATGCAAAGCAGTCAAGTCCATGGCCCATCGGGGGAACTGGGAAGTTTGCAGCCACTTCAAGTCCCTGCGCCATATGAGCATGTTGCGGAAAGATGCAGGTGAAAAGAAGGCATGAGAGACCACACCAAACACGTGTCAAACATGGTCTGGCTGGCCTGCCTACGAGCTGTGAATCTTCAAAGTTGAGTTTGGTTGGGTATATCATTTTGGGAACAAGGCACTTGGCCTTGAGTACGGACAAGCTTGGGGTCCAAAATGGAAGGGGAAGGATCAGATGGGACGCTAACCAGACTCTTCATGTGGAGTGGTAGTTTGGTAGGAGTAGGAGGGAAATCCCAGCTGAATAAGTTTGGGGTGAAAGTTCTATGCCTTAATTTGATAAGAATGGTGTACACTAATACTGGCAGCTTATTTCTAGCACACCCACTATGCTGGCAAAAGCTCTAACCGGTTCTAGGCTTGATTTGATTCTCGAGTCTTATGGAGGTAAGGATATGACCCTGTTCCACTAATCATTGCGGTCATCGGCCTTTGAAGATGCACTGTAAGCCTAAAGCGGAACAGGGGATTTAATCCCTTTTGAGAATACTCAGAAGACATGAGCAACAGCGCAAACCCCTGATTGATTCGACTCCAATATGGTTGAGTCAAACCGAACAGAAGTTCGGTTGCAGGGAACATACCTGGTAAAACCAAACCATACCCTGGGTGGTTGGCCCCTGTGTAGACTGGTTGAGTAGTGAGAGCTCACAAATAAGTGAGGGACGTCAGAGTGCCGAGGACAACCGGTAGCTCGCCGGTCCATGATACATCCGCAATGGTGCTGCAGAAATGGGGAAGGGGGAGGGACATGGATCATGATGATGGATGGATGGATGGATGGTATGGATGGATGGGTGAATGGTGGTGAGGATAAGAAAGGACACCTCAGAAAGGATACGGATGATGATGGGATATTTGATCATTGATGTGACATGTCTCGGAACGAGGGAATGATGCATGGAGCGTAGGCATGGTGAGAGTCGGCCCTTTGTCGACCATGCCTGAATAGCATGTATGGTGGATTCAGGTGGATTATGAGGGGTGGAGTGGCGTGGAGTGGAGTGGCGGGAGGTAATACCGGAGCTTGTGCATCTCAGCTGGAAAACAAATTGCATCACATAAGTGTACATGAATATATATTTCAATACATACTCTTGCAATGGCGGTGGCAACATAGTCTCCCAGAGGGAAAGGAACAGAGAGATGGGTTACAAACGAGTTACAACACTTGTTCTTACAGGCTTTGGAGGGATTTGAGGGCCGTGAGGAAGGAGAGGGCAGAGAGATCCCCAACCACATTGTACATTTCCAACAGCGCGCTGACATGATTTTGGGCAATTCAATGTTTTCATGCCATCAAGAATTAAAGCTCTTGATTGAGCTCGGTTGGTGAATGTCAAGTGAGTGATGGGTGTGATGAGAAACATGCTCAGAAGAAGATTGGGGTTGGGATTCATTGGCCAAGTGAAAACAACGATTATTAAAGGGAAGAAGACCTGATAACTGCTAACAATGGCAACAACCACATTTCACGGGAGGGGTGGGGTCTGGAATATGGATATGAGCAAGATCTGGGTCAGTGTAATTTAAGTTCGACAAACAAAAACCAGAGTCGGATAAACGAGAACACTTTACCTGACTCTACAAACGGTCGAGTCGTTTCGGGAGTCAGGTAAACAAATTGACTCGCTGATTGTAACTGACAAGGCCTCATATACCCATGAGGACTAGTTACTGTTAAAAGCAGATTTCTTCCAGTATCGCTTTGCACGCATGCTGCGACGCTGTCCTCGTGATGATGAAAAAGGACAGCATCGCAGCATGCGTGCAAAGCGTACAGGGCCTAATTGAATGAGTGCAACTCAAACAGTACTTGCTTATACGCGTGCAAAGCTTACAGTGCTTAGTTTAAGAGTGCAGATTATATGCGCCGAGGCGTACAGAACCTGTTTTTATGTGTGCTTATGTGTTTTCCACCATTCCTGTGCATTCAGAAAGAGCACTAGGAGCAAAACATACAGTAATTACTTGAGAGAGGAGGGTGTGGAGCATACAGAGAGCGCAGGTTGGTGAGACTTGAGATCCACGAAAAGTCCTCCAAACGACCAGTGATGTTTACTGTCCCGATGTTGCTGAGAGAGAGACAGGAGGAAAATGAGGAACAAGAGGAGACAGTGGCAGGACAGAAACAAAGGCTAATGCTGAGACGAGGAGATGTGAAGGCAGGGCGGTCCTTTCCTCTCCCTTGCCTTAAAACTCACGCACATTGCGATCGAGAAGGGGATGGGGGGAGGTGGGTGCCAGGGCAGGGGTTGAGGAATCAAATTGGGTTGGGACCCGTTGGTAACGATGTTCAGTTCAGCTACTGGTGTTCGTATGATTCTGTTATGCATTTCAGCATTGCCGGTTTGAGTTCAAGCAAACCTGATGCTTCTTTGAAATCACTGTGTTGTATGCATGCAAGCCCTCCCTCGACGTGCTCCTAAGTTGGAACTACGCTGTGGCAAGGCAACATAGAGTATGTATATATACGCTCAGAAATGCACGATATGCAACCCTCAGGCAGCCCCCACGGAAAAAAAAAAAAACAAAAAACAAAAAAAAAAACAAAACAAAACAAAGGCAAAAACCAGAACAAGACACAATTACACGAAAAGACCAGGCAGAACAAGTATATGTACATGTATATATATATATATGCATACCATATATACGTATTCATGTATATATAAGCATAGCGCCATCAAACTATCTCACAGGTGAAATTTGAGATTCGAATGGACTCGTGACCAACACTAACACGATTCAGGACGACTTCAAATCCAAGCTACAACTCACCCACCCACAAACCGACGTGAGTATGGGTGGTTCAAAGAGGTGCCGCACTGACAGGTATGTGAGGCGAGTGAGACGACCAAGAGCAGATGGTAGGTCGCCTGATAGTGAAGTCAGATATATGTCTCTGGTTGATTGGGGTGGAGGGGAGATTGGAACAGGTGGGATGGCGAGAACAAGTGCAGGGCAGACTGTTGCTAAGTTTGAAGGAACTTCATTTCAAAATGAAAAATCAATGCATGGTGACTAGTAAGAAGCTCAGAAGAGTTGAGTGGAGGAAGTTATGAAGGTACCTATCAGTTATGGAGTCACAATAAACGCCAGAAACACCTTCTGGGCCAAAAGCGGTTTCGGGCTGGACAGACCTTTGCTTCAAGAATGGAAGACCAGGCTAACTGAGGGGGCTTAAATCATAGCTTTTTTCTGTGTGACACTATGCTTGCACCCACAGGTGTTCGAGAGCTGAGAGCGAGAGGATGGAGGATGGTAGAGAGCCAGAGAACCGTGAGGCAGATATGTCCCTGCAGGTTCCGCATGGGGACAGGAATTTTGAGACGCGAGCAATGTTTCTTGACATTTACAATGAGCAGCAGAGCAGCGCAAGAGAAAGTTCAGGGTGTAGGGAGTAGTCCTTTGGGTCAGCCAGAGAACTGTGAGGAAGAAATGTCCCCGCGGGACCCGCAGTGCGGGTTGGGGACAGGAATTTCAAGATTCATCAAAACGAAAACAGTTTCTTATGTTAAAGTGCCTTACGGGTTTGTCGGCACAATGTAGGGCATAGAAACGTCTCAAGACAGGCGGTCAACTCCCGAAACCGTGTATTGGGATCGCATGAATGAAGCAAGGGAATGGGTATTCGAGGACCGAGCGGATAAGGTATGGGGGGATGGAGAAGACAGAAACGGGGGGAGGGCAGGGCAGGGAGGGGGGGAAGAGGGGGAGCTTGTGTTGGGAGAGTGAGGGCGCGGGGTGAGGGGGGTGAGTCAGAGGGCGTGTGCATATGCGGGCATGTGAGTGGGCTTGTGAGGGCATGTGAGAGCATGTGAGAGCATGTGACGGAGTGAGGTCAATCTAAATCAGCGCACTCACAGCATGCGCAGAGAGGGCGGCAGAGGGAGGTCAGAGATGGACCCAAAAAGCTCGTAGTTGTTGGCCATGCCACTGGGGCCCCGAGCACACAGGGTGGGTGGGGGAATGCCGTGACGTGGAAAGGCCTGCTTGCTGTAATTTCAGTTTGTGAGGAGCCGGAAACAAACACGAACTGATGGCTGGTGAAGAGAGGATGGTGGGATGAGGAGGGAGAACCTAAAAGGGGGGAGAAACGGGGGCACTGACAGGCGATGAGAGGGCTTTTCTAAAAAATCCGTGAGGTTCAAGAGGAGAGAGAGAGAGGAGACAGAAATGGATTCTTCCAAGAGTGTGAGGGCCAGATGTGAAGAGATCGCAATGCAGGTCATAAATCAAAAAGGAACATTATATTACAGTGCCAAGTGTAATATAATGTAACAGAGTCCATTAAGGAACATTATATTGCAGGAGATTATTACAATGCTTTGAAACAGAGTCCATTAAGTCAAGTGTCAGCTGCTGATGGTTGCTGAGCAGAAAGCAATGCACTTCATTCAGCAGTAACACTTGGTGACACCATACGATTAAAAAGTCGAGGAAGGGGTGGAGACAAATGGAGAAAAAAAAGCATTGAAGAAAAGAAGTCGAGCGAAACCTTTGTTGTGCAAACGCAAACAATGGACGCATATTACTGCTGCTGCCCTTCTAATACTATGCCTACAGCCTTGAAGGTTTGCAGATGCGATGCAGGACGGGTGAGTTGTTTGTATCGAAAGAGAAAAAAACAGAAAGATAAGGATAGCAGATGAGTTATTGGATGTCCCTGAATGAGAATGGATACTCCAGGAGTGGGCAAAGAGCGAAAAGGCAGAAGATAAGGAAGAGTGGAGGAAGGGGGTTTGCTTACAGATTGCGGAGGTATGGCATGCGAGAGAAGAGTGAGAGGACACTGCGAGGCATCCACCCTTTGATGAGTTCCCCATCAGACACGTTCCTGCAAGCAAGAAGAGCAGCAGTGCATGTAAAGAACACACACATGCATGCAATGCACACACGGACACAAGTCACGCATATACATGTATATGCACACGGCATGCATGTGTCCACACACACACACACACACACACACACACACACATAGACAAAACCACACACGTAGTGCATGCATAAAGAAACACACTCGCACACCATGAAAGAAACTCCTCAACGCCTCAAAAACTCAGAAACGACCTCAAAACGCTCTCTTTTCTATTTGAGAGATCACATCTTCCTTCTCATCACCGGGCGCGCACACTGAGACGACGAAGCTGTCTGTGCGCGTTGCACTGGATGCACACCCACTGGTCGCAGCAGAGCAGCGCAGTGCACACCAGAGCAAGGAAGAGAGCAACGTACATGGCAGAAATAAATCCCTGCACGTAGCACTGGATGTACTCCCACTCCCACTCCCAATCCCACTCCCACTCCCACTCGCAAGAGCAGACCAGAGAATGACGTACACTGAAACGATAAAGCCCTGCTGGTTGCACTGGATGTATTCCCACTGGTCGCAGCGCCGTGAGCGGTTGGAGTTAGCCGGCCACAGCTGCCACGCCGCGTTCAGCGCTACCAGCGCACGCACTGCCCGCCCGCCCCGTGCGCCCAGTGCGATTCTCTCCCCTCCCCCCCCACCCAACCCCGAAAACACCGACAAACAAAGTGGGTGAAATTGAGCGAAATTAGGTAAAATTGAGTGAAATCGGACGGCGAAAGTGAACTGCAAAAGGGTAAAATAGGAACAAGTGGGAGCAATATTGGTACTGTTGTATACCCGCCATACACGGCTTTCTTAGTAGCATAGTAAGGCATGCAATCATGGCATTGCATCATCATCCCACAGAGTTTTGCTATGGCAGGGAAAGCAAGCGGCACGACCCGTGTCACAGGTGAGAGAGGGCCGTGTGCGGGAGGGCCGACGCCGCCTGTGGGTGTGCAAGAAACGACTCTTTTCCTGCCCAACAGACGTCCCTCAGGCTAGTAGTAAGAAACGGACGAGAAGAACCCCACGCTGTGCGAGACTCTCGAGGGAGATTTGAACATCCTTTCGCGTTGCAAAAATGCCGCCCCCGGGACTTTCTAGTAACCTTGGATAGGATTCACGGAGGGGGGGACGCGACAGGGGGCGAGCTTACTCTGTGTGTCGTCAAGGAGGGGTCCGGCGGCGGGTGGAGGCGGGGCCGGAGCCGCGGAGAGCTCGAGGAGACTCGTGCGATGATGCTGGACGGAACGACTGCGAGGCTTGGCGGCGACGCGCGACCCGTGCGAATCGTGCGGCCAGTGGAACCCATGCGACCCGTAGAGCCCGTGGGACTTGCGCCACACGTGAGACCGGCGGAGAGACGGACGCTGCGAGACGGACGCATAAGTTATGCGCGACGGCTCGTGTGAGTGGTCATACAAATGCGCTGTTCCGGCGGGAAGCGATGAAAGCACTAGTACTAATAGTAGCACTGATACTAGTCCCACTGCAAAACCAAGCGGGGCGAGCGGGCGAGGCGGCGAGTGCACCATGATGACGCAGGCAAAATGGGACCTTACTAGCTTCTCTATCTGATCTGATCTGAACAAAATGTTCGTTGGACTCATCCGTTGTGTTGGACACAACGTTGGACACAACGTTGGACACAACTCCCCCAGTACCTCCCCACCCACGCACCCATCCACACCACAAGTGGTCCGTTCATCCAAAATCCCAGGTTCCTCCCAACCAGCTTGGTTCGGTCGGGTTGTCTCAACCCAAGTGGTGCACCGACCGAACCAAACCGAATCCCAACGTGGACTTGCCGGGATATTCTTCTGTTCAGCGCAAGTGCTACAGTACCAAGATTTTCTCGTCATGATGGATGTTGGAATGACACGCAACGCAACCTAACCTGAAACCGAGCCGCAGAATAACGGACGCCCGAATTCCATGTGAAACGTCCGTACAGTATACTCCAGTGCAGAATGTAAGTGCACTTTAGAATTAGAGCTGTACACAGCCAATTACAACTGCTTAGTGCACACTTAGAAATATGTTCCCTAGTACGTTGTAACATTGTAAGGGCCAGATTGTACAGGCTAAGATGCACTGATCTACAGGTGAATTGGCATTAAGGTGTACATGCAATGCAACTAAAGCATAAATGCTTGCATTCATCGTAAGTAGTACAGCACTTACATGTACCTAGCACAAATGCCATCAGAGGCCCACAAACCTAAGGCTCAAACCGAGAACCAAGCAAGCCTCACAAAATCGCCATGCTCGATGCATCGTTGGATGTGAGAACATGGTATATCCTGTGTGACATTACAGGGCCCATACGCTCCACTCGCCTCATCCCAGCAACACCACCGCCACCTTGACTCCCTCTCACTGCCACATCAGCATCACCAGTGGCATTGTCGCCAGCATCATCATCACATGCATCATTAGCAGTGCCGACTGTTGTGGTGTCGTTTCCAAGCTGTATTTTGACCATCTTGGAAAGCAGAAGCTGCTTGTCTCGCTCCTGTGAGTAGAGGTGGGGGGGGGGGGGACATGGCGAGATTCACAAGTAGAGGGGAAGTGGCGAGTCACCGGCATCATCATCCCATGCATCAACACCAGAGGTGATAGTTGTGGCGTCACTTCCCAACTGTATTTTAACCTTGCAAAAAAAAAGCTGCTTGTCTCTCTCCTGTGAGTAGTGTGGTAGGGAAGTGGTGAGATGCACAAGCAGGGGAGGGGGGAAGTGGTGACGGGCACGACTTAAGTTGACTTCAAGCAAGGAGCACACTCATCTTTGCCAGGAGGCTGGAGCAGTAGAGGGAGGGTGGCGAGTGCATGGGGGGATGGTTACAGTGGATAATTTCAAGTTGACTCACAGCAAAGAGTACATGTTGTGCGTGTATAGAGGGGGTGGGTGCACGCAGGTAAGTTCAAATTGACTCAGAGCCAGAAGCGTGCTCATTTGTGTGTTTTTCTCACCGGGATGTTGGAGCAGTAGACGGAGAGCAGCGAGTGCATGGAGGGATACATGCGGGCGATGGTGTGTTCTGAGTTGCCTTGGATCAGCCAGCGCACTCAACTCACCGGGATGTTGGAGCAGTAGACGGAGAGCAGCGAGTGCATGGAGGGATACATGCAGGCGATGGTGTGTTCTGAGTTGCCTTGGATCAGCCAGCGCACTCAACTCACCGGGATGTTGGAGCGGTAGACGGAGAGCAGAGAGTGCATGGAGGGATACATGCGGGTGGGATTATGTTGACTTGGAGCAAAGATTGCGCTGAGTTGTGTGTTAGACTCACCGGGAGGTTGGAGCGGTAGACGGAGAGCAGCGAGTGCATGGAGGGATACATGCGGGTGATGCTCATGGCGTCTCTCGCTGACACCCCTGGGATGGCCATCAGCATGCTCGCCCTGGGGGACGGGGGGTGGAGATAGGTGGCTGACACTCCTGGGATGGCCAGACAGATTGGGAGGTGGCATAATGGGCCGAAATACCAGGAGAGTGGCTGAAAAGAGCATTGTTTCTTCCCTTCCTCCCCTTCCCTCCCTACCTCTCCTCCACCCTTCTCACCCGCCTGTCCCTTCCCCCTTGTTCGATCACCATGTCCCTTCTCTATGCCCCTCCCCTCATGCCTTTTGAGAATTCTCAAAAAACATCCCCTCATGCCCCTCCCTCCCTCCCCCTAACACCCTGGCCACGCACCATGTGTTGCGGCGGGCGGCATGGAAGAAGGGGTCCTTGGGGTTGGCAGCTCCGCAGTTCTGCACTATGTGCAGGCGGCTGAGAGCAGGCCTGGGGGGGAGAGGTAGAGGAAGGGGCGAGCCGGAAAGGGGTGTGGAGGGGTTGAGAGGAAGGAAGCGAGCAGCGGGTGAGGGGACCTTGGGGTTGGCAGCCCCGCAGTTCTGCACTATGTGCAGGCGGCTGAGAGCAGGCCTGGGGGGGGAGAGAATCAAAGGGGGTGGAGAAGGGGGGCTTAGAAGATGAGATTAAGGCAAGATCGGCCCTTACAGTGGGCAGGGGTTGGCAGCCCCCCCGCAGTTTTGCACTATGTGCAGGCGGGCTGAGCGCAGGCCTGTATGGAGATAATTGTGGGGATGACGAAGGAAGGTTGGAGGGGGAGGGTGCACAAAGGTAGCGGGCGGCATACAAGACAGGGTCCTCCTTAGGGTTGGCCGCCCCGCAGATCTGCACTATGTGCAGGCGGGCGGCTGAGCGCAGGCCTGGAGGGAAGAGAGGGGGAGAGGGCGAGGGGGAAGGAGAATGGTGCACGGGGCTGAGGGGGTGTGTTTGAGGGATAGTTGGGGTTGGCGGCCCTGCGGCTGCAGTTCTGCACTATGTGGGAATGGATGAGCTTTGGCATGAGTGATAATACCTACAACCCTGCTTGGCTCGGATCTCAGATGGCACCTGCCTGTGCGCACCCCGCCTGCCCGCATCTCACCTGGCCAGATTTCGCCTACCTCATCCCACCTGACCGCACCCCACCTGATCACACCCCCCCTGACCACACCCCCTCTGACCGCACCCCACCTGATCGACCCCGGACCACAACCCCCTTGACCGTACCGCACCTGTACATCTTCTCGGCGTGTGCTCGGTGCATGGCGGCCACGTGCTCTGCCATCACCCACTCGTCGCTGCACACACGCACTCCCACGCGCGCAAAGTGCGTTGCTAGCCGCGCCAGCGCCTGGGGGACGGGGGTTTGAGGGGTAGGGGTGGGGGGAGAGAAGATTTTTTTAGGCGCCTCAAAAACGACCTCAATGCACGCAAAGTGCGTTGCTAGCCGCGCCAGCGCCTGGGGGACGGGGGTTTGAGGGGTGGGGGTGGGGGGAGAGAAGAGGTAAGGCATGGGGGAGGGGCGGAGAGGGGGGGGTATGGTTGAAAAGCAGCAGGAGGAAGGAGATTTAGGGAGGGTGTGGCTTAAGGAGATTCAGCAGGGCAGAGGTGTCGGCAAGGCTGGCGAGGAGAGGCGAGGTGAGAAGAGGAGAGGAGACGCGAGACGAACGGCGAGGCGAGAGGCGAGACACAAGGAAAGGAAACACTGAGAAAATACACAAAAGCACCTCACTCATGCACCTACCCCCAACCAACCATGCACCTCTCTCCCCCCCCACCCATGCACCTCGCTGCTCTCACTTGCTCCACAGCAGGCTCCTTCCATGTCTCCTTGCCTCTCTGAGCGCGCTGCTCCCTCTGCTTCAGGTACCGTCCCAGCCCACACACGAGCAGCACCACCCTCCCCTCGCTCCTCCCTTCCTTCGAAGCCTCTCCGGTTCCATTTGGGTCTCGCTGCTGCTGGGAATGATGGTGCTGATGGTGCTGCTGCTGGTGCTGGTGCTGGTGGTGCTGGTTTTGGTGATGGTGATGATGATGGTGATTCTGCTGCTGCTGTTGTTGTTGCTGTTGCTGTTGCTGCTGCTGGGCTGTCGTTGGCAGCGTGGGCAGGTGTTGCTGTCGGTCTAAGGCATGGAGCAGAGGCGAGATCACGTGAGCCTCCCACCAGAGCATGCCTCTCTGAAGCAGATCCACCAGGCACTCCCCGCCCATCACCACCACCATGCCTGCCGCCCACTGCTGCCTTATGCACAGCTGAATTTCAGAGAAAGAGAGGGAGAGGGAGAGGAGGGAGAGAGCAAAGTAGAGAAATAGAGGGACAATGGTGGCACACGGCAGGAGGATGATGTGCCGGGCGGGGAGTGCCTAGTGATGCGAGGGCACAGAGTGAAGAAATCAAGAACCTGAAAGAACCTGATAGAACCTGAAAGAACCTGAAAGCACCGGACTGTGACAGCAAGTATTGCTCTCACGGTCTTACCTGAGCCCTGCCAAGACTTCTCTGGTGTGGCTGTGCCCCTCCACTCCCTTCCCTCGCTGCCCCTCCCTGCCTGCTTCCATAGGCGGCAGCAAAATCACTAGCAGTGGCAAAAGCAGCAGCTGCTGCGGAAGCAGAGGAGGCAGCAGCAGCAGCGGCAGCGGTGGTCAACGGTTGAGCAGCAGCAGAAGCAGAGAAAGCAGGAGGAGCAGCAGCAGGAGGAGGAGGAGCAGCCGGAGCGATGGAAGCAGAAGGGGCAGCAGGAGGAGGCAGCAAGCGGGGAACGCTGAGAAGCCAGAGCAGAGAGGCAGGCACGGGGTTACGAGTGATGGTGAAGGGATATCCGCGATCGGAGAGAGTGCGCTCTAACGCTGCTACACTCGGAAAGAAACGGGAGGCAGGGGGGGTGAGGGGAAGAGGGAGGGGACTTTTGAGATGTTTGAGAAGCCAGAGCAGAGAGGCAGGCACGGGGTTGCGATCGGAGAGAGTGCGCTCTAACGCTGCTGCACTCGGGAAGAAACGGGAGGCAGGGGGGGTGAGGGGAAGAGGGAGGGGACTTTTGAGATGTCTGAGAAGCCAGAGCAGAGAGGCAGGCACGGGGTTACGAGTGATGGTGAAGGGATATCCGCGATCGGAGAGAGTGCGCTCCAACGCTGCTGCACAGGGGGAGAAGTGGGGGGGGGCGGGGATTGGGGAGGGTGAGGGGAAAAGGGAGCAAGAGTGGAAGCGGGAAAGTGAGGGGGAGTGGAAGGGGGAGAGGATGGGGAAAAGGGAAGGGGAAATGATGGAAAGAGGGGAAAATGGTGATCAGACGTCAAGAGGGACGCAGGGACGTCAGATTGGATGCAGGAGGGGAAAGTAGGGAAGAGAGAGGATAGCAGGACAACGAGTACTGCTACACCAAAGTCGATGGAAAACTTGCAGAAACAAAACCAGAACCATAACAAAAGAGAAGAGGAATAAAAAGAGGCATCTTTCTATGGTGCATGCACGTATCCATTCATGGATATACACACACAAACAACTTGTGAGGTGTCTCAGAAGCCATTCGTTCATAGAGCATGCATGCATGCACGCACACAGAGCGTCTTTGAGCATTCGGTTGTCGATGAGTGTGGTGGCCTTGCTCACAGCATCGCGGCCCTTCTCTCCCACCCCTCCACCTCCCTTTCTGACTCCCTTTTGAGGCGCTTCAAAAGGCATGCACGTACATAAAGCGTCTTTGGGCGTTCTGTCATCAATGAGTGTGGTGGCCTTGCTCACAGCATTGCGGCCCTTTTGCGCGAATTCACAAAAGGATTCTAAAGTGCATGCATGCATCCACGCACGCACCTAAAGCGTCTTTGGGCATTCTGCCATCAATGAGTGTCGTGGCCTTGCTCACATCATTGCGGCCCTTTTGGGGTTTTCCCAAAAGAAATGTCAAAATGCATGCATGCATGCACGTACCTAAAGCGTCTTTGGGCATTCGGTAACCAATGAGTGTGGTGGCCTTGCTCACGGCATCACGGCCCTTCGCCCACCCCTCCACCTCCCGGTTCGCCTCAATAGCCATTCATTCATAGAGCGTACATGCATGCATCCACGCACGCACCTAAAGCGTCTTTGGGCATTCTGTCATCAATAAGTGTCGTGGCCTTGCTCACAGCATCGCGGCCCTTCTCCCACCCCTCCACCTCCCGGACCGCCCCCCTCCTCTCCTGCACCTCTCTCTGTGCCCTCTCCTTGCCCAACCTTTCTTCCTGCACTCACCGAGGGAAATGATGAGGACGCAAAAGGAGAAGATGGAATATGGAGAAAGCAAACAGGGCGCACGAAGAAAAGAGGGGCATGTAGCTTTGAGACGTCTCAAAACTCGCCCCGAGGGAAATGATGAGGGCGCGAACTGAGAAGAAGGAATATGGGGAAAGCGAACAGGCCGCAAGAAGGGAGCAGGGGCATGTAGGGGCGGGGGTAGAGGGATGAGATGAGGAGAGACGGATAATCATGTTACGTTACAGCCTATGGGCAGACACAGAGAGGTGGGTGCCATTTCCATCATTTCCATAATTTCCATCATTTCCATTATTTCCATTATTTCCATGCATGTGCTGTAATTCCATGTGATGCTTGAACATGCTTCGAGCATGTGCTGCAACATATAGTTGGAAAATAACAACATGCTTTGAATTGAAGCTAAACACCACAGCATATTACAACGACAGGCGGCAGTTTTACATGAGTACCTACCTGCTTCTTCCTCTTCTTCTCTTCGGCCAGCGCAGCCTTTTCCTGCTTCTTCCTCTCCCTCTCTGCTTCCCGCTTCCCTCGCTCCATCTCTTTCCTTCTCATGCTCTCACTCTCTGCCGCGCCCTTATCGGCGCCACTGCTGCTGCCATTCCTCCCTCTCCGGCCGCCTTTCTGAGCCACCCCCAAATTGCTTTCTTCTCTGCCACTCCTGCCGGCCCCACTCCTGCCATCAATACCAGGTACAGCATTCAACCCCTCACAACCCTCCAAAATCGCCCCTTCCTCCCATCGTGGCAAATTGTTTCTTCCTCTCCACCCACCTGCACCGCTCTCCATCCCCCCTTCTGTATTCCCCTCAAGCCCTGCTGCTCTTCCTTCTCCACAATCACTCACTCCTACCCTCCCCTCCTCCCCTCCCCTTCTCTCCTCTCCACCCCTCCACTCCTCACCTCCCCACCAATCCTCACTATCCCTACATGCCACATCATATCTCCCCTCAACATCTTCCCCCAACGTCACGCCATCTCGCAACTCGTCCATCCACGGAGGGCTCTTCCCCCCTGTTCTTCCACACGCCTCAGGCTGCTGCACCGTGCTTGCTCCTCCTCCCATTTGAGGCGACTCAAAAACCGTCACGCCATCTCGCAACTCGTCCACCCACAGAGGGCTCTCCCCCCCTGTTCTTCCACACACCTCAAACCGTTGCATTGTGCTTGCTCCTCCTCCCCTGCTCCCTCCCATGCTCCCTCCCCTGCTTGCTCCCCTGCTCTCGAATAACACAGCACAGTCAGACGATTCGCTTCCACCACTGCTGCTGCTGCTGCTGGCACTACTGCTGCTTCTGCTGCTGCGTCTGCTACTCCTGCTGCTGCTCCCACTGCTGCTGCTGAGTGTCAACCCCTGACTACCAACCCACGGTCTCTCATCCACTTTATCTCCACAGCCGCTCCTCTTCTCCCCCTCCTTCTTTTCTCTGCTCTCTCTTCTGTCTTGCCATTCTTGACTGCCTTGACTGTCTTGACTGCCTTGACTGTCTTGACTGCCTCGACTGCCTTGACTGCTCGCACTGCTGCTGATCTCATAAACACGCCCTGCACCACCCCCAGCACTGCCCGCCCCTTGAAGTACCGCCTCCCCTAAAGCGCCTTGAATGCCTTGACTACCTTGACTGCCTTGATTGTCTTGACTGTCTTGACTGTCTTGACTGTCTTGTCTGAAAGTGTCGTTTAATATCACCTCCCTCACATGCCCTGAATTTCCAGGAGGAGGAGGATCGGCAGGAGCAGCAGCAGGAGGAGCAGCAGCAGGAACAGGAGGAAGTGCAGTAGGAGGAGCAGCAGGAGGGGTGATAAGAGGACGGCGAGGATGGATGGGGATAGTGGCACGGGTGACATGGATGGTTGGCAGCTGGGAAGAGTATGGAGCAGATGAAATTGCAGCAGCGGCAGCAGCAGCAGTGACAGCGGCAACAGCAGCAGCGGCAGTAGCAGTGGCGACAGTAACAGCAGGAGCCCCAGTAGCGTCAGAGGCAGCAGTAGCAGCAGCATTAGCAGAGGAGGATTTTTGTAATCGGCCCCATAGATTGGCTGCTAGCTCGCTGTTCTCTCTCTCTGCTCGCTTCAGCGGAGTTCCCAACAATCCCCCCGCTTCCTCTTCACATTGTTCCGGCTGCTGTTGCTGCTGTTGCTTCTCCTGCTGCTGCTCCTGCTGCCGCTGAGTCGTGCCATTTCTCCATTCGCGCACCCTGTCAAGATCCACGTCACCCAAACCATTCATTGCATCTGGACAATCCAAGCCACCACTCAGCTTCCCCGCGTCAAATCCGCGCCCCTCTAATCGTCTCCGTTTCTGCCTCCCCACTTCCTCTCCCACTCTCACTCCCACTCCCGCTCCCACCACCAACACGTCATCCTCCGCCGTCAATCGCCGAGCAATCGGACGGTCACGATTGCTTCCATCCGCCGTGGGATCCAACTCGGTGGGGCGCGGCGGCGGCAAAGGAGAGCCGTCAATTTCGTCCAGATCGATGGGCTCAAGCGTCCACGAACGAGGCTCGACGACGCGCGCTGCTGCTGCTGCTTCCAACGGACGGATCGTCGTTTCCGCTCCTCCGTTGTGATTTCCCTGTCCCGCCTCCCTCCTCCCATTCTGCGTGAAACTATTTTCCCGCTGCTTCTCCCCGTCCTGCCTGACACTCTCTCGCTGCCTCCTCTCTTCCTGTCTGAACGCACGTTGGTTCGAAGCAACGGCGACGGGACGATGCGACGCTAGCGAAATTCCGTTGTTCGTTACCGGCCGTGAGGAGTCATCGTCACTATCGGAATCCAGCACAATGGCGGGAAAAGCGGACATGGTCAACCCACGGCGGTGAATCCGCTTTCCCTCAAGAACCAATGTGACGGGTTGCAGAGCGAAGTTGGAGGCAAGAGAATATCAAGGATTCATTGTATACCATCCCCCGTTACGAAAGTGAAACAAAAAAACAATCTGAATTTGAAGTTGTTTATTTAGGCTGGAATCTCCTTTCTGAAAATCCTTGTTCAATGATTGCCACAAAATCAAACTAGTCACATGTCATCATACACAATCACCCTTTCTACTACCAGACTAAGCAGAAGTACCTCGTCCTAACCAAGCCAATCATTTATTTTCCACCACCTAAGATGCCCTAGTGCACAGTAAGAATAGCATCTTCCTACACTTGGCAACTAGTAACCAGCCCTACTCTCTCTTTATCACTGTCCTCTTCGTCACTGTCATCGTCACATGCCAGCCGCCAGCACCAACACCACGCATGCTACATCTTCTGCTGGTGCAGCAGCAGCAGCAGCAGCAGCAGCAGCAGCGCCCCTTAGTGAACTGAGCCGGCCAGAGAGCCATTGAGGGACGAGGCAGGGGAGGCGGAGCCGGTACGGTGGCGGGAGCTGCCCGGCTGGAGCACCTTCACCTTGTGGTTGAGGTCGCTCACAATCTTGGACATGCTCGGACGGAACTCGGGCTCCGGCTGTAAAGGGGTTGGGGTTTGGGGGTTTGAGGGGGAGAGGGAGGAAGGGGGGAGTGGTGACTTGTGGGACACGACTTCACTGGGTGGTTGAGGTCCGCTCACTATCCTGAACTTTGTTGTGGTTGCAACAAACAGCACACAGGACATGACATACACATGTCCCTCGTACCTGGATGCAGCGGGTGATGACTTCAGCAAAGGCAGCGAGCCTGGCAGCGTCGGGCAGCGGGCCGGCAATCTTGGAGTCGAGAATGGACTCGAGCTCCTGCGGGTTGTGCAGCAGAGGCGCCGCCCACCGCACCAGGGAGGACTCGGGCTTGGGCTTGGAGCTGTGCAGAGAGGCGAGGGAGCAGAAAGAGAAGGAGATCGGGGGTAAATTTGAGCACATGTAGCATGGAGTGGTAGAGGTTTCAAGTGGAATGGCAGAATTGGCAGGAAAAGGGGGGGGATTGAGGGGGGGGGGGGGGGGGGGGGGGGGGGCGGTGGGATGTTGGTGTGCACAAATGCCATTAGTAACACAGAGCAGCATCAGCAGCACGTACGGGTCAACGGGCTTGCGGCCTGTGAGGAGCTCGAGCAGCACAACACCAAAGCTGTAGACGTCGCTCTTGGCCGTGTAGATGCCCGACATGGCATACTCGGGCGCGTTGTATGCAAAGCCGCCCACCAGCTGGTCTGACAGTGACTGCAGGAATTCGAGGGGACAGGGGAAGGGGGAGGGGGGAGGCAGGAAAAGGGGGTTTAGGAAGGAGGCCAGCGCAAGCAACGCACAGCACAGCCAAGACAGCTGAATGTAGGTCAAGCAGCAACAACAGCAGCATAGAGTGCTCTATCCCTCCTCCCTCCCCCCCCCCTTGTTCCCTCCCCCCCCCTTGTCTCACCTTGTCGTCAGCGCCCACGGGGTTGAGGAAGGAGAGGCCAGCGCCAGCAACGCGCGCCTTGAGGCGCTTGTCGAGCAGGATGTTGCGCGATGAGATGTTGCGATGGATGATGGACGGCACACACTCCTCGTGCAGGTAGCTGCGGAGGGGGGGGGGAAGGGGACAGCGGCGAACGAAGAGGGGGAGGAGTGGGGAAAGGGGGTGATGAGGCATGTTGCATGAAGAGAAGTCTCATGATACAATCAAGGGGGAGAGTGGGACAAGTTGGAACCTCGCGGAACAATCAACGCAACAGAACCCAACCCACAACAACGCATTTCGGCGCCAGTCAACTCACACAAGCGCGCGCGCCGTGGCGATCGCGATGTCGATGCGCACAGCCCACGTCATGTTCTGCGACGGCTCCGCAGCACCCGGCACCTTGCTGTTCCCGTGCAGCTGATCGAACAGCGACCCGTGCGGGTAGTGCTCGAACACGAGAACCCGCTCCCCGTAATCCACGCAGTAGCCCTGAAGCTGCACGACATTCGGGTGCTTCAACCGCGCCATGTTCGACGCGACGGCGACGAAATCGTCGTCCGATTGGCCCTCGACGACGCTCGGCTCGACGCGCTTCACGGCGATCTCCTGCCCGCTGGGCAGCGTCCCGACGAACGTCGTTCCGAGCGGGTCGGAGTTCACGCTGCGCTCCGAGGAGAAGTTATCCGTTGCCATTTGGAGCTCTGCGAGGGTGAGGACGACGACGCCTGGCACGCGGCGCGTGGATCCGCCGGGGGTGTTGCTGCCGTGCCCGCCCGCGGCGGCGGCGGCAGCGGCGGCGAGGGATGCGGAGGCTGCGCCGGGTGGCGGATGGGCGCGCGCGGAGTTGTTGGACCATGCTGGAGAGGGCGCGGGGGAAGGGGGAGCGGGCGGGGGAGGGGAACGGGAGTGCGGAAGAGGTTGGGGGAGGGGAAAGGAAGAGAGAGGAGATTTGGGAAAAGAGAAACGGGGAAAGGCGAAAGGGGAGGAGAAGCGCAAGGAAAAAGCGGGGTGGTTACACGAAACAGGAGACGGAGGGAGGAGAGTCTGGTCTAGTCGAGGGCTAACAGACGATCGTCTAAGACTGCGAGGCGCGGGCTTTAACATGTGAAAGGCAGCACACGGGCTTTAACGTGCGACTCGACTCACATTGCATGTGCATCGGCGGCTTCCCCCCCGCGGAGTGGACATGATGCGCAGCGGACGACGCGGTGACCACCGACGTGGCCGACACGCGCTTGCTCGAGCCGCCCTTCTTGCTGCTGCTCTTCTTGCTTCCGCTGGAGCGGCGCGGGCGGCAGCGCACGAGAACGACGACGAGGAAGATGAGCGCCACGACCAGCACCGCGCCGACAATCACGCCCGCGATCGCCGCTGCGGACCATCCGCCGCTGCCCTCCTCAGGGGCTGCCTGGTCGGGGGTAGTTTGATTCGTGGCTGGGGGAAGGGGAGGGGGTGCACGGGGGAGCGCGGGAAAGGTGACTCACGGTCACCGCTGCGGACCACCGCCGCTACTCTCCTCAGGGGCTGCCTGGAAAAGGGTAGTTTGATTCGTGGCTGGAAGAAAGGGGAGGGGAGGGAAGAGGAGTTGAAAGGAGCGGGGGACCGGGTGCGCGGGGGGGGGGGGGGGGGGAACAGGGAGGTTGGGAACCAGGAAGAAGGACCACGCGGAAAAGACGGAGCGTGACCAACCCAAGCCAACCGAACCCAAAGTAACCACCGAACGAACACGACCAGCGGCACTCACGCGCAGGGAGCAGCAGCTCCGAGGGCGGCTCGACGAGCGTGACTTCGACGAAGCCGAATCCGCTGAGCGAGAGCTGGTTGTTGCGCAGCAGCGCGAGCACGCGCTCCACGACCGCCGGCTGCAGCGTCGTCATGGGCGCCTCGGGGCCCAGCGCGAGATCCGCCACGACGCTGCCGGGCCGCGACGAGAGCAGGCGCACCTGGCCGTAGTTCACGATCAGGTCGTCCGCCAACTGCATCTCCAGGTCCTGCGGGGAAACAGGGGGGAGCGCGGGGGGGGGGGGGGGGGGGGGGGAGGGGGGGGGGGGAGGTGCAAGGAACGGGGAAGACGGGGGATAATGAGTGGCGAGACTAGGGCAGGCGCACCTGGCCGCAATTGACGAGAGCAGGCGCACGAGGGGGGAGGGGGAGTGGGGAGGAGCAAGGTACGGGGGGAAAGAAAAGTGATCATGGGACCTCGCGTCACCCTCCCGATTCTCAACTCACCCGCTGCTTCTTCTCGTCGAAGTTGGCGTAGTTCATGCTCATGTGCAGGCGGAAGCGCAGCGGGTACACGCACACGCACGCGGACGCGTTGCTGCTCAGCTTCGGGTTCGCGCTCGTGCTGTCGTCAGCCATCGGCCGCCACGCCACCTGGTTCAGATTGCACGTGTCGCACTCCGTTGCCGGCGCCGGCGGAAGCTCCGGCGTGGACGGCAGAGACGGCTCCGCGATGGGGGGAACCGGCGTAACAACCGGAGGGGTGACCACGGGGGGCCTTACGACCGGCGGCTTGACGACGGGAGGCGTAACGATGGGGGGCTTTACGACAGGGGGCTTTACGACAGGGGGCTTTACGACAGGGGGCTTGATAACGGGTGGCTTAATAACGGGCGGCTTGATAACGGGCGGCTTAATAACGGGCGGCTTGACGACGGGGGGTTTCACCACGGGCGGGCGGACGACGGGCGGAGGGAGGGACCCTGGCGCGGAAGGCTGCTCGGTGGGATCGGGGAGCGGAGCGACTCCACCGGGAAGCGGCTTCACAACGGGCTTAGTTGGGGGCTTGACTGCGGGCTCGGAAGCGGGGGCTTCGGAAGGAGGTGCGGCGGGGCTAGGTTCGGAAGAAGGCGCGGCGGCGGAACCGGGGGCGTTACCCTTTCCATGCTTGCCGCGTTTGCCGTGCTTGCGGCCCTTCTTTCCCCCCTTCTTTCTTCCACCCTTGCCGCCTTTGCCGCCCTCGAGTTTAGGGTTCCCCTTGACCTTGAGTTTTTGGATGCTCTGGTAAGTAGCCGGCACGGTGCCAACGAAGTTATTCTTGCTGACGTCGACGGCTTCAATGTTGGGCAACGCGCCGATGCTCTCCGGAAGTGTGCCGTTGAATTTGTTGTCCGCGAGTGACCTGTAACCACAGCAACATACATGGCATGCGAAAATACGTGATTAGCCAGTCAAGAACGGCAGGGTGCAATTTTGCGAACTCAATCATCGACGCCAGTACATTAAAACAGACCAAGCAGAGAAACGAAAGAGTTTCGTTACAGCAAGGTGTGCGACAGGGCATGGGTGGCGAAATGGGATCAGGAACTCACATGTGCGTGAGCGATTTGAGGCCCGAAAAGTCCAGCGGAAGGGGTCCACGGAAGGAATTGCCCGCCAAGCCACTGTCAGGGGAAAAGTGGGAGGGAAGGGGGAAAGAGGGGGAACGAGAGTTTGAGGGCGCAAGCGGAAACGGTGGCTTGCGACGAGCCGTTATATCCCTACGCACTGTGGATGACGAAATGGTAAAATTTCGTTACCATCAGCGTTACTTTACAAGAAAAAATACATATGAACAGCAGCTTACATGTATATGATCTTGTCATGTCCAAGTAGGGACTCCGGAAAAGGGCCCTTGAAGTCATTCTTGGAGAGTTCACTGGCGTAAAGGCAGGTAGGGGAAGGGGGTCGGGTGTGCGTGAGGAAATTAATGCGAAGCGGGCGTCCAATATAACAGAAAATATCAATATTGGAACAAATATCTGAGAAATGCCGAGCTATATGAGAAGGAAACGTCTTGATTGTTTCTCAATCTTGATGAGGAGACGGCAAGATATGCCAGAGCTGATTGAATGGAACTTCTTACACATATTGCAGGTTGGTCGAGAGCGTGGTGTCGGGAAACGGACCAGTGAACTTATTCAGACGCACGTCACTGGAAGCAAGAGGAAAAGAAAGGGGAGACAAGGAACGTGGATGAGAAGAAAAGTGCAGAACACGGCGAGGCGAAAGGTACACGTGAGGGGGAAGAGAGTAGGTCGGCGAACAAGCAGACACAACGAGGAGGCGCAAATCAAAACGGCGCGAGGCACAGCTGCGAAAGGTACAACCCATTTCGAGCAGCAGCACAAACAGTAGTAGCAGTAGGGGAGTGAGGCGGCTCACATGTGTTCGAGAAACTTGAGCGTGCCGATCTCCTTGGGCAACTCGCCCGCGAACTGGTTGTCCTGCAGATTGCTGTGTAGCAGGGAGAAAGGGGAAGGGGTATGGAGATCGGCAGGAGGGAGCGGTAAGGGGTGAGTAAGGACGGAGGCAGGAAGAGCATAGAGCGAAGGTGGTGAAGGCAGTCAACGGAAAGGGGCCTTGACGTGGTGAAACACGAAACACGGGAAGAGGGGAATGGAACAACGGATGGTGCGACTGCGGCACGGTGCGGAAACGACATGCGAGGTGGTGCGCGTATGGTATGGAGGGTGAAACGCCGATCGCATATGAAACAGGGCGTCTGCAGGTGCAGCGAATGCCGCGGTACGCACAGAATCTGGAGGAAGGGCAGCCACGCAATGTGCTTCGACAGCAAGCCCTTCACCCCGAGAGACTCCAGGTTGCTGCAGTCACACACGAGAGTACAAGTGGAAGGCAACGAGAAAGAGAGTGGATAAGAGCATGAGAGACAGAGAATTAGAATGAGGAGACGGTGGAAGGATACATCAATAGAAAAGTAACATGGTTGGCGGGGTGAAGGCTGACAGTTTATAGCGATGGATACGAGAAATGCAGGCTATCATCACGCACCCACATGTCATGTTACTATGCGCACTCACGCGCACCCACGCTATCCATGGCACTCACATGCCGACGACATGCTGCGGCACGGTTGTGGAGCAGATGATCCCCATCCACTTGTCGTCGCACGCGTCGCCCTTCCAGCTGGCGAACAGCGTCGCAGGACTCATAAACGCCTTCATGCCCAGCAGAGCCGCATCTGAGGGTGCGCCAGAGCAGGCACCGTCGGGGGGTGGGAAGGGAGCGGGGAGATTGCGGGGATGGAAGAGGGGAAGAGAGTGGGAGGGGAGAGGCGGACAGAGGAGGGGTGTTGAATCGGCCGTGGAAAGTTGGCGGGACCGGGAATGGAAATGCAGTGAAACAACAACTTGGCTTCAGGTGACTGACGACTAAGAAAGCACCACGTAGCACAGCAACGAGCCCGCCCTTAGACCCTATGCCATCGGAAATTTCTAGTTATCTCAGAGTAGGACAACGGTAATACGGCGACGGTAGCATGGTTCTGGTCAGTTTCGTTTCGACTACTAAGTTGTTGACTCTCGCTCGCGACAGAGAAAGACGCTTAGATGCTGCAGACAAGCGAAGTCTGTTAGATTACGCTGGAGACCCTCGCAGACCCTTCCTTTCAAACCGCTGCTTGCGGTTCTGCCCGGCGGCATTCATCACTAACAAACCAGGAGACCGCTTTCCGTATGGATGTTGGGATTCAGTCGCCTGGAAAGCGGAGAACTGTTGTGTGCGCTGCGCGCGGCACTTACTCTCTGTTGGAGTGGTGGCGGCTTCAACCCGCCCAGTCAGACCCCATATGCCGCTGCTAACACACAGCGCCGCGAGTAAGAAAAGGTTGCGCATCGACGCGCATTGCAATGCCATGGCTTTGTCGCCAGAACCGCACAAACGGCCGGCTCTTAAATATCGACCTAGCATAGACGGGTTTGCCACAAGAGGAGGCCCGAGGCTTGAACGAGTTAGTTACAGCGGCGCGTGCTTCGCGAGCCTGTTCTAAATCGAGGGAGTTAGTATGAGCCCTAACTGCACGCTAAGTTAGGGTGGTGGTGATTAGTTGAAAGTGACATGAGAAGGCATGAGGCCGAGGCGAGAAGTTATGGTGGATAGTGGATCGCCGAGAGACAAAAGCGACGAGCATAGATGGGTTTGTTCACCGGCAGTAGGGGAGCATAGTCAAGGAATGGCACAAGCGCGCGATGCCGTGCGTTACGCACGCCTCGGGAGGAAGGGAGGGTGGATGGCTGGGGGCTGACGTGTGAATAGCTGGACACGCAAGCGGAGACTATTACGAGAGTTGGGCATAGGCATAGGAACGCGAAGTACGAAAAGGCTCATCCTAGTATGGGTGGGCTTGGATTGGGGAAAGTTTGAATGCGCTTCACCACGATGCGAGAAATTGTGCCACCGCTCGATGAGGTGGAATTGGGCAACGTGCAAAACCTGGCGGGAATTCTGCTCGAGTCGCGGAATTAGGAGGTTCGTGAGAGTGAAATTGCGACGCGGGTAATGGCCACATGCCCCGAACATCCGCCACGGTGCCAAGCCAAAGGGAGGCTGGAAGGCTCGGGGGACATAGCTACTTGACCAGTGAGACGTGCCACATTTGCCTTCACGTTCGGCGCGCAAATGACGGCTCACCACAGCAGCTCTGGTTTGGAGGGCAACCGAACTGGCTGGGGAGGTGCGTTTTGGGTCAAACGTCTCGCCCGCAAAGTCTCTTGAGAGGCTCGGCTCGGGTTTGAGAGCGCATGAAGCTGGTCGTTAGCCGCAAAAAGTTTCATGATCCTGTAGCGAATATCAGCATGCTCACAAGGACTACGTAGGATACGCTATGTATTAGTAGTCTCGTTAGCACGTGAATGTAAGTCACCTTGCAACAGTTTCACTAAGACGGACATATCATCGATATTTCAAACGCTCAAACAAGATCATATGGTCATGTTGATTGGTATACTACATTATTGAACCTTCAGATGCTCCAACATCTTAATCTCCCCAGTCTATCCAAGGAATCCTCCTTCCGGCGTGAAAAAACTCGAACCACTCTTTCCAACTGCTCGCACCACTTAAAACCTAACCACCCACAACAGCTCCATCTTGGACTTGTGCGGTTTCCTAGACCAAGAACACACTCATCACATCACTCCCCCTTGAGGAAACACTGACCCAAAGTCATAGAAGCCTACCCTCCCACAAAATATCACATCAGGACCATGACCCTGATGCAATACCATGACACATCCACCATCAACATTACCCATCCAAGGAGGAGTACGAGTGTCATCAAGGCATGACGCATTTCAAATCTTGCTTGGCATCACATGCTCTTTTCTTTCTTTTTTGTCAGTCATACCATACCCCAGATGGAAGCTTCCCTAATTCCCTAGATCATACGAATCGTCTCAAAGGCTGTAGTCGCCGCTACAGATGCAACACATGGAGCTGTAGCAGCAGGTACAACAGCAAGAGCTGTCTGTCACTGCCACCGCATCGCATCGCATCCCCTCGCATCTCACCACACTCCATGGCACCGCATCGCACCGCACCGCACACATGCGCTTCAGAACTCTGTGTTGTAATCCTTGGACGAAAACGGCAGGCCCAGGCGCGTGAGCCACTTCTTATACGCCCCTGACAGAGAAAACCACGTCCCTTCCTCCTCCTCATCCGCACCCCCCATCACCTCTCCACACTCCTTGCAACACCTTCCTTCCCACCCATCACCACCAGCATCTCCACTTCCCGACCCTGCTAGCCCCCCATCCAACCGCCCATACACCCCCCCACCTGCTACACCTGCTCCTCTTCCTTCCCCCTTTCCTCCTCCAGTTCCTCCACCATCCCCGCCTTCTCCCCGTCCTTCTCCCTTTCCTCCTCCTCCCTTGCCTCCTCCTCCTCCCCCACTTCCGCCGCGCATTCTGCTCCACATGCCATACAACTGCTGCTGCTCAGCAGCAGGCATGGTCAGCACCAGCTCGTTGAAGCCAAACAACATAATAGCCCGCTCTTCTGAGTCTATTTCAACGCCGCACATGCGGAACCCCGGGTCTGCTGTTGGGAATGTCCCTGGCGCCGCGCCTCCTCCTGAAGGGGACGGCTCGAGCAGCGAGTGCGACGCGTGAAACCCTGCTGCTGGTGGTGATGCACCTGCTGCTGCTGCTGCTGCTGCTGCTACGCCTGCTGCTGCTACGCCTGCTGCTGCTACGCCTGCTGCTGCTACACCTGCTGCTGCTATGTCTGCTGCTGCTCCTGCAGCTGCACTTTCCCCGAGGCCAATCCCGGCAGTTGCCGGGCCAAGAAGCGGAGAAATAGTCACGCCGCCACCACTGCTGCCGGAACGAGTGATGGCAGCAGCAGTTGCGGTGCGAGAGAGAGAATTCCAGTCACTAATGGAATCCATCCCAGGGGAGGAGGCCAAGCCAGAGAGAGAGAGCGCCACTGGCATGTGCGCGGATGGGGAGGAGGACGCGGTGATAGAGAGAGGCGGGGGCAGCGGAGCAAAGGAAACCGAGGAGGAGGAAGAGGTAGAGGCTGGGAAGGAGGCAGAGGAGGAGGAGAAGGAAGAGGAAGAGGGGGAGGAGGAGGAGCGGGGGCACCAGGGCGCGTGTGTGTTCCGGGGGGGTTTCACAGCGTTAGGGTTGGGCACGGTGTGGCAGGCGAGGGCCATGACTCGCAGCCAGAGGCGTGCAAAGGAGGCGCGCAGATCCGGGTTCACGACGAGACGCTTTGCCACTAGCGCTCCCATTGTGCCCAGCACTGCCACCTGCACTATGTGCAGCTCTGCGTCTGCTGCTACCGTTGCTGCTGCTGATGATGACGATGATGTTATCAGTCCTGCTACTGCCTTGGGCTTTCTTCCTTGATTCAAATCTGACTCATGCCCTTCGTACCCACGCTCTGCCCTCCCAGCATTGCTCACACCATCTCTCCCTCTCACTGCTCCCAATGCTGCAACTGTTCTCACTGCCTTCCCCGCTTCCTCTCCCTTCCCCTCTTTCTCTCCCTCCTGCCCTCCTACCACCCCATGCCCATCCCCCCCACCCTTCGCCCCCCTCCCCTCCTTCTCCCTCCGCCTCTTCGCCTCAAGCCGCCGAACCGCCCGCCGAGCCTCGGCCCGAGCCTCTCTCCACTGCTGCTGCTGCCGGCACCAATTCAGAACTTCCCCCACAAACTCATGATCTGTCGCCAACCACTTAAACACCTCGTCGGCCAGTCCATGCTCTAGCATCAAACCCACCAGCCACGTCAGCGACCCGTCCTTTCCATATACCGAATCAGGCAATGAAGGGGATGAGGGGGGTGGTGGGACGAGCATGGTAAGCCAGTCCCTCTCTTCCTCCCCAGCTCCTGGCAAGCCTGTCTCTCTCTCTGCCACCATTCCCACTTCTCCTCCTCCTCCTTTTCCCTTCCCTCCACCTACTCCTCCTGTGTCTCTGCCTGCCGACCCTCCCAGCCCTCCCCCTCCCCCTCCTCCTCCAATTTTCCCTCCCCTTTCCCCTCCTCCTCCTTTCTCTCCTCCCCCTTCTGCTCCTCCCCCACCTGCTGCACCCCCCAAGCTGGATTGAGAGCGAGGGGGGAAGAGCGACCGTGTGCGAGTTAACCCACGCCGACCTGGGTTCCCAACACTCCCACTCTCCGCCTCTCTTCCCTGCGACTTCCCCTTTCCCTCACTTCCCCTACCCTCTCCCTCTGCTCCTCCCACCCTTCCTCCCCGCTCTGTGCCCCCTGCCACGCCACCACCCCTGCCGCTCCCACTCCTGCTGCCGCTGCCACTGCCACTCTCGCTGCCGCTGCCGCTACCACCGCTGCTGCGGTTGAGGTCGGGAAACAAGTGATCAGCATGAAGAGAAACAGAATTTGGAAACTCCTGACTTCTCGCCTTCGCCGGATTCACGGATTCAGGGTTGAGCGACCTGGTTCGTCGCAGCGGGGCGGCAGCGCGCCGGGCGGCCTTTTTCGCCTGTTGCTGCGACCACACGGCTTGCAATAGATCCACAAACGCCTGCTTCAGCAGGGCTCGCTTGCTGCGGCGGCTCAGCATCGGCGCCGTGTTGTTACGCAGTAACGCAGTTACCGCGTCCCTGCACTCGCGCATGCCGCCCCCGGGGCAGATGCTTGGGATTGAGGAGGCTTGGGCGGTAGAGGCGGAGGAAGAGGAAGAGGGGAAGGGGGAGTGGGAGGAGTGGGGGTGCGAGGAGTGGGGAGGAACGTGAGAATGGGGGTGAGAAGCAGAAGCGGGAGGGAGGCCTCCTCGTGGCTTGGGGAGAGGGGGAGAGAAGGAAAACGAATGGCCTGCACTGCCAGCATTGCCAGCAGCAGCAGCAGCAGCAGTGGCAGCAGCTAAGGTGGTGGATGGGAGATGATGGGCCATGGAGAGGGGTGACACAGGAGGCAAGTCATAGTTAAACCCGTGGGTTGAAGTAGAACCAGAGGAAAAAGAACGAGGCGAGGAGCAGGAGACAGCAAGAGCAGCAGCAGCTTCGGCGGCAGCCGCTGCTGCAGCAGCAGCGTCCTCTGGACTGACTGCTTCGTTACAAGATAAACCCCTCTGTAGAAGCACGCGAACCGCTGCTGTGACTGCTTCCTCCTCCAGGAGTTTTTTCACGGGCAGCCGGTCCAAAACTGGGCGGGCGTCGGGCAGCTGAAGGAACGACAGCAGCCGCACCACTCCCAATTGCTCCTCCTCGCTCCACGGCACGGATTCCAGAAAATCCACGCACGCTGACGTGGCGGCGTGGAATTGGAGGTCAGCAGCGGCGACGAGCATGTCGAGCACACGCCAGATGGATCCAACGGCCACGATTTCATCTAGAATGGTCGGCTCGTGATAGAAAAGACGGAGGGTGAAGACATAGGCTTCAGGATGGGAAACCAAGTCGCTCGCTCTCACAGACACACGACCCAAGTGGGAGGGAGTGGAGGGGTGGGAGGAAGTGGGGGGGTGGGAGGGAGGGAGAGGGTGCGAGCGGGGGGTGGTGGAGGTGGAGGAAGACGAGGAGGAGGAGGGGGAAGGGAGAGGGTGGTTGGAGAAGGTGCCTCGCGGTTGGTGCTGTGGCAGGTGCTGCTGCTGCTGGTGCTGCTGGTGGGGGTGGTGGTGATGGTTGTGTGCAAGCAACTCTAACGACCTTCTACCCCCTCCTCCCCCGTCTCCTGGGAGGCTATCTTGCTGTTCCCAGGGGGGTCGAAGAGAGAGTGACGGAGAGGGCGGAAGCGGCGAGTGAGACGCTCCGCCTCCCCCTCCCCCTCCCCCTCCCCCTCCTCCTCCTCCTGCTGCGTTTCTGTGCGAGCTAGCAGCAGCCGCAGCAGCAGCAGCGGAGGCACCCTGAGCAGCGGTGGTGCCCGTTGCTCTGGTGGGGCGACGGGGCAGAGCAGAGAAGAAGAAATCCGATTGCTCTCGGAGCACCTGAGAGTGCATGGCGATAGAAGCGTGCAGGGATCCGTCACGCGCGAACACGTCCACGCGGATGTCTGACGTGGCAGGGTCGTCGAACACCAGCGCGTCGGTCAACGGCTGACGTGGCAGCACGACGACGGTTTCGCCCCCTTCCCCCCGGTACCACTCGCAAGCCGCCTCTGCCGTCTCCGCTGCTTCCACTCCTGCTCCGCCTCCTGCCCCCGCTCCGCGCTTCCCCCCCGCGCGCGCCTGAAGCCCTCCCGCCCCTGCCCCTCCCCCTCCCACTCCGCCTCCCCCTGCGGACGGCTTCCCCCCTGCCCCTGCGCGCAGGGCTCCGCGGACTCCCCCAAAAAATCCCCCGCTCCCCTCTCCAGCTCCGGCGGGGGAGTTTGCCCCCGTGGTTCCCCCACCGCCTCCTCCCCCGAAGCCGCTTCCCCCAGCACCCGCGCGCCCTAGGCTGGGGACCATGCTCATGCTTCTCCCCCATGGCTTTTCCCCCGCGTGCGCCCCCGCGCCTGTTCCCCCTTCCGCGCCATCTCCCCCAAACCCCAGACCGCGCATCCGCTCCAGGTCCAGCGACGCGGTGTGGCGGCCGCCGCGCACACCCGCTCCGCCCGCTCCGCGCGCACCCGCTACGCCGGCTCCACCGGGGAACGCGGAAGGCGGAAACGGGTGGCGAGATGGGGGCATAAGATCTAACCTGATGCGCTCGGCGGAAGTACCGCCGGGAGGCGCGGCGGAAGCGCCGCCGGAAAACACGGAGGGATGGCCGGAAGGGGGGGTGAAGGAGGAGGGGGAAGACGAGGCGGAGGACGAGGCGGAAGCGGAGGAAGAGGGGCGCGAGGAGCGCGCGTCGTGCGCCGGGGCCGGCGGAGCTCCGGCAGAAGGCGCGCGGAAATCCATGAGGATCGTCGCAGTTCCGCCAGCCCCCGCACCGTTGTTTCCCCCCGGCCTGTCGCTGAGCGCCGCGTCACCAGCGTTAGCGGGTTTCCCGCCGGTGGAACCGCTGTTTAAGATTCGCGACATAGAATACATGGCGCCTTGTGATTAGTTGGACGAGTCGCCCGAATCGCAGGAGGAGGAAAACAAGGACGGACAGCCTCAGTTCAAACTAGAAAAAACGTATATAATAGTCGGCCATCGTGCTGTGGTTGAGCTATCCCGCTTAGCGCGGAAGTCAGTAACGGATCAAGGCGTCGCTGCCGCGGCGCTTTCGGAGTAAAAACGCCGCCGCACGCCACGTCATTACGGCGATCGGAACCAAATGCGCATGTCGCTTGAGCGGTACGGCCAGCGCTCCTTGCTGTTGAAACTGCAGTTGAAACTGCGCAAACGCGATCCGTTCAGGGTTACGCCCGACAGCTGATGTTCGACGTTTACCGTCAGACGACTTTCAGCGCAATAGGGTTACGTGCTGCTGCAGCAGGATACAGAGCGGCAGCAGGGGCAGCGGCAGCGGCAGCGGCGAATAGAGAGAAACACGGACCGTTGTCTCTTGGGAGCAAAATAATAAAAACGCGTCGCCCCTTAGGCTGCGATGTCTCAGGTCGAAACGGACATAAATATTGCAACACGCACTGCAATGCCCGTGTCGATTAGAAGGCAGACTGCCTGCCACTGTAGCAGAATGCGGCGGGGATAACTACGGAGTAAGGAATAAGAAGGGCGGATTAGGTAAGGACTCGTCCCTCCAATTGATGTTGAGTATGGTTGGTTACGGTGCGCGATGGTTCGTTTGAACCACTCATCTGTGCGTCACCCTTTTCGACCGTGAAGAACCAGAATATATATATGTTTTGGCAGCTCTCACATTCGAGTGAAAGTGCCCCAGATAGATACGGTACCAAACGGTGCTGTGCGTCACGACAGGCGGAAATTGTACGGAATGGTCCCTCGGATGGTACTGTACACGCTACATTTGGGGATGGCTTCGGGGGGAAGGGAGGAGTCGGGGGAGGGGGAGGGGGAGTGGAGACGGCGGGGGAAGATGGCGTGGGCGGAAGAATAATAAGGATGAGGTTGGGGCAGTGCGCATACTCGCTATGGAGCTTGACAACGAAGCAATTCGACAAAGAGAATGAGACAGAGCTGTGAACAAGAGCCCCATACGCTTAACATATCCACAGTATGTTGATCACACATAGTGTGAACTTAAAACCGGTCTAATACGCATGGTCAACTGCAATATATTTAACACAAATTTTATATACGCATATATCATTGACAGGTGGATTAGGGGTTTCTTCTACCTCCAGAGCGGATGAGAGCAAGCAGTTGGTCGGTGAGCAATGGCACCAAGCGGTCCCTGTTGCTGCGCGACACTTCCACTATAGCAACATCCGGACGGGCGCGGATAGCAGCCACTGCAAGGAGGGAGGGGGGCAGGTGGGAGCAACAAGCAGGCATTTACAGGGAAGTGGGAGGGGTACGTGGGTGGTGGGTGGGAGGGCAAGAGATTTTTGCTCCTGTACAGTGTCCACAAGTGTGCGTGCAAAGAAAAGGGGAGTCTGCATTGTAGGGTGTGAAAACCACAATGAAGCTGAAACAGCCATTTTCAGGCAAAGTAAGACCCATTTCGGCACAAGCCAAGGGGAACCAGGGATGGATGGATCAGGGAACTTGCAAGGCCTTGAGCGTGGCAGAAGGATGGTCCTTCTATTGGAACGATGGCTGATAAAGCAGGAGCTCGTCATTCTAAATAATCGCCTTTTCTTCGCCCTCAACGGATGGTCCTTCCATGTGACAGCACATGGCAAGCCACTCAATGAATTACCTCATCAGCCATGCCATAGCAGGCCTCTGCCACACGCTACATACTAATGGAAGCGCCTTGACAAACACCTCCCCCCCCAAGGCTGCTCCTGCGGCCCCTCATGACGCGATTTTCAAGGCGTGTCAGAAACAAAACAGCGGTGTGACATGCCAAGCCAGTCAGTCAAGATGTCATACCTTGGGGCAAGTCTTTCCCATGTGTGGGCACAGGGATGCAGGCGAGGAGAGAGGAGTTTTTAGTCGACTCAAAAGCCAGTCAAACATTGAATGCTACCTTGGGGCAAGTCTTTCCCGTGCGTGGGCACAGGGATGCAGGCGAGGAGAGGCAAGGGCGCATCCAGCAGGGCAGTGACGGCAGCAGCAAAGCGGGTGGATAGCAGCTCCATCTTCCCAATCTCATCCACCACCCACAACGTGCCACGTGGACTGCTACTGCTGCTGAAAGTGCCAGGAGATGTTGCTTCTGGTGGGCTTGCTGATGGGGACGATTCGGATTCTGATAGTGTTTGAGATTGTGGTTGTGATTGTGATTGTGGTTGGGATTGTGGCTGTACGGGTGGGGTAGTTGGCAGGGGTGGGACGAGTGAGGAGGAGGAGGAGGAGGAAGGCAGGGATGGCAGCAGCGCAGAGGCGAGGGAGAGCAGAGGCAGCACGTGCAGGTCAACAGACGCAACATCCACTGTATACTTTCCAACACGCCCCCATCTCCCACTCCCCCTGCACCTCCTGTCCTCTTCAGCTGCCGTGCTGGTGTGGAGAGGAGAAGAGAAGTCTGATGGGAGAACGCGGGCGAGGGCCACTCGGGCGCCCTCCATTGTGACTATGTCGAAGCCAATGCGCTCGCCGTCTCTACGCACTTCCTCTGGAGAGGGGCAGCAAGGGGTGTGTGGCGTGGAGAGAGGTTGGAATCGGGGTGTGTGCGTGCCGTGTGAGGTTGTACGGGGGTGTGGGAGGTATGTGGGGGGGTGTGTGGGGATGTAAGGGAGTGTGCAGGTGTGTGGGTTGCGTGCGGGTGAAAGTGGGTGTGTGTGTGTGTGCGTGTGGCTGTGTGTGTCCAATCTACCAGTGTAGAAGTGACTTGTAAGTCCCCAGCGTGGTGCGATAGAGAGGAATGGTATCGATGAGTCTTCCAGCTGTGAATCATTAAAAACTAACTACATCATGTATACGTATATCACCTGTAGTGAACCCTCGGAGGACAAGAGAAGGAACGGCTTCTTTCACTCGCTCCATAACGCGTATGATCAGGGTAGTCTTCCCCACTCCCTGCGCACCAAATTCCTCCGAGTTACTGAGCAATGCACCCCCAAAAAAAACATATATTCTTCCCACTGCAAGACGACGCGCATGCCACCGCACGCCACGTCATGCACACCGTGCCATGTCACGCCGCATCCATAAAACGAGGAGCCTCTAAGTCGGCAATGGCCTCCGGCTACCATGCGATAAGAAAGGCGACTTCTACTTACGGGTGGGCCTGTAACGAGGACATTCATTATAGCAAGCAGGAGGCGGATTGAACGGGAGGCGGGGTTGCGGCGGTGGCGGCGAAATTCACAAGTAGAATCCGCAAGAACTATCAAATGCACGCATTCTGGTTGGAAACGGAAACACGTAGACAAGCCAGATAATTTCGCTAAACACCACTGGCGATCTCGCATGTTACCAAGTGACATATCTTCGCTAATGCCGCAACGCCGCTTTGTCAGGTGCAGCGAAAACTTGAAACAAATGAAGAGAATCCAGTTCCGCTAAGGTTGCTAAGAATCGTTACAGATTAAAACATGAAGTTGGCTATTAAGTGGAGTATGCATGACATGAATGTGTTCAACAAACAATGAATGACTAGCCAGGTGCTGCTAGCTTGGTCAAGGGAAGAAACTGCTAACAGGTATTTAATTCAAAAGCTACTTACACTGGCGATAATTAAGTGGCTGTCAGTCCAAACGCGAAACCTCATCATAAACAGCATCAGAGCCATCAAAGCCACCATTGCTACCAGTAGTACCATCGCCACCAGAAGCTGGAGCATCAGTAAGTGAAGGTCTACGTTCCCCTCCATCAGCAATCGCAGCAGCAGCAGTGGCAGTGGGAGCAGCAGTGGCAGTGGCACCGGCGGCAGCAGCGGCAGGAGCAGCAGGTGTGGAGGCATGAGGAGCGTGTTTCGTAGGAGAGGAGGCGGATTCAGACTTGGCAGAGAAGCCAGGAGGGCAGTAGATCTTGAGTGGATGCTCTGGAAAGAACAGCGTGTCTGTGGAAAGGCAGGAGACAGAGGCGTGGGGGAAGGAGAGGGGAGAGGAAGGGGGGTGGGAAGAGAGAGGGGGAAGGGAAAGAAGAGGGGGGGAGAGAGGAGTGGAAGGAAAGGAGCAGACGAGGGGAAGAAGGGAGGGAAAGGGCGGAAGGGGGGTATGAGGGAATTTGAAGCTGAAGTGCTTCAACGCGGGTTGATGAGTATTAGAAGTAAGATGAGGCGTTAATAGATAGGAAAAGGAGGGAGAAATCGGAAGAGGGAGGGGGAGTGGTGGTGTGGGGGGCAGGGGGGAGGGGGGGTGAGGGAGGGGGTTGGTGGCGTGGGTGGAATGAAATGAAAGGAAGGGGTTCTTAGAGAGACAGCACGGGAGAGGGTACCTCGTCGCTTGGTGGTGATGTGCAACGTGTGGAGGTTGATGAGTGCGTTGAGAGGGAAAGGGGGAGAAGAGAGGGGGAGGGGGGGGGGGAGGGAGTGGAAGAGAAGAAGAGAAGGAAAAGGTACCTCGTCGCTTGGTGGTGATGTGCAGTGTGTCGAGGTTGATGAGTCCATCCACCAGTGGCACCAGCTCACAGCGCACCTCCGATGTGCCCAGCGCCGGCACCTTGCTGGCAGCGGTGCAGGCGGGGGGGGGGGAGGGGAAGAGGAAGGGGATGAGACGGGTAGGAAGCACACAGGAAAGCGGTGAGAAGGGGGTGAGTTTCGATTGAGGCAGCTTAATGGCAGGCTCACATCGCACCTCCGATGTGCCCAGCGCCGGCACCTTGCTGGCAGCGGTGCAGGGGGGACGAAGGGGAGGCAAAGAGGAGAGGGGGTGAGTACTGAGGCGGCTTAGGGCGAGCTCACAGCCATGTGCCCAGAGCCGGCACCTTGCTGGCGGCGGCACAGGGGGCCGAAGGGGAGAGCAGAGAGGAGAGAGGTTGAGCATTGAGGGGGCTCAGGGCGAGCTCACAGCGCAGCCCCAATGTGCCCAGTGCCGGCACCTTGCTGGCGGCGGCACAGGAGGTGGAACGCGCACAAAGAGAGGGGCTGAGGGAGGGGCGAAAGGAGGGGAGGGATGGGTGCGAGGGGACAGTGCAGTTAGGGAGAAGGACCAAGGCGCATAACAAGAAACAGCAGAGGACAACGGGGTATGCAGCGCAAAGGGGAATGGCGAGGAATGAACACAGCTAGAAAACAATGGGGAAGGTAAGTTGTAAGGAAGGAGAAATAGGGGGAAGGGGTGGGGGTGGTGGGGGGTGGAGGAATGGTAGGGAGGGGAGTGGAAAAGGAAGAGTGAGAAGGCTCAGAAGAGTGAGAAGCGTCGGAACATGAAAGGACGTGAGGTTGTGAAGGAGGGCGAAGGGAGGCAAAGGGAGGCGAACGAAGGAGAAGGGAGGAGAAGGGAGGTGGAGGGAGGATAAGGGAGGTGGAGAGAGGAGAAGGGAGGTGGAGAGAGGAGAAGGGAGGAGAAGGCGGGTGAAAAGAGAAGGGAGGCGTAGGGAGGTGAAGCTGACCCCATGGGGACAACAGACTGCAGCCAGAGATGCGTCCTGTGAGGCACATGCATGGCCACCAGCTGTATTTCAGAGTCGACTAAGAAAAAAAAGACTCATCATACGGGGGGAAAGGAGGTGAGGGAGGTGTAACTGAACCCATGGGGACAACAGACTGCAGCCAGAGATGCGTCCTGTGAGGCACATGCATGGCCACCAGCTGTATTTCAGAGTCGACTAAGAAAAAAAAGACTCATCATACGGGGGGAAAGGAGGTGAGGGAGGTGTAACTGACCCCATGGGGACAACAGACTGCAGCCAGAGATGCGTCCTGTGAGGCACATGCATGGCCACCAGCTGTATTTCAGAGTCGACTAAGAAAAAAAAGACTCATCATACGGGGGGAAAGGAGGTGAGGGAGGTGTAACTGACCCCATGGGGACAACAGACTGCAGCCAGAGATGCGTCCTGTGAGGCACATGCATGGCCACCAGCTGTATTTCAGAGTCGACTAAGAAAAAAAAGACTCATCATACGGGGGGAAAGGAGGTGAGGGAGGTGTAACTGACCCCATGGGGACAACAGACTGCAGCCAGAGATGCGTCCTGTGAGGCACATGCATGGCCACCAGCTGTATTTCAGAGTCGACTAAGAAAAAAAAGACTCATCATACGGGGGGAAAGGAGGTGAGGGAGGTGTAACTGACCCCATGGGGACAACAGACTGCAGCCAGAGATGCGTCCTGTGAGGCACATGCATGGCCACCAGCTGTATTTCAGAGTCGACTAAGAAAAAAAAGACTCATCATACGGGGGGAAAGGAGGTGAGGGAGGTGTAACTGACCCCATGGGGACAACAGACTGCAGCCAGAGATGCGTCCTGTGAGGCACATGCATGGCCACCAGCTGTATTTCAGAGTCGACTAAGAAAAAAAAGACTCATCATACGGGGGGAAAGGAGGTGAGGGAGGTGTAACTGACCCCATGGGGACAACAGACTGCAGCCAGAGATGCGTCCTGTGAGGCACATGCATGGCCACCAGCTGTATTTCAGAGTCGACTAAGAAAAAAAAGACTCATCATACGGGGGGAAAGGAGGTGAGGGAGGTGTAACTGACCCCATGGGGACAACAGACTGCAGCCAGAGATGCGTCCTGTGAGGCACATGCATGGCCACCAGCTCCGCTGCCGACACACTCCTCTCCCCTCCCTCCCCTCCCGCTCCCCCTCCTCCTGATCCTGAAGCCGAAACCGGCAGGTTCTGAGCAGCCTCGCCTATGCTGCCGCTGCTGCTGATGCCCTGGGGCTTGGTGGCTGAGGAGTCGGAGGTGAGCGAGGGGAGCGGCTTCGGGTGGAGAGAGCGGTTTCGGAGGAAATCGGGGAGAAGGAGCGATCTGGAGCCGTCAGGGGGATCCTGGAGGGAGAGGAAGAGGGGGGGTTGAGGGGAAAGGGGGATAGGAGAGGGGAAGGCGGTTTGTGGTTTTGAAGGAAGCCGAGGAGGAGAGATTTGGAGCCGTCAGGGAGGTCTTGGAAGGAGAGGAAGAGGGGATAAGTGAAGGAGAGGGGGGATAAATGAGGGAAAGTGGAGTGTGAGGAAAGCGGCTTGGGGTGGAGGGAGCGGCTTGAGGAAGAGAGGGAATGAGGGGAGAGGGGGATAGGAGAGGGGAAGGTGGTTTGTGGTTTAAACAGGCAAATCCGACCTAATTATCCTAAACCCTAGTATAACCACCCACCAGCGTGGCAGCAAGAGAAGAAGACTTGAACGCTCGTAGCGGCGACATGGGAGGAGAAAGCCCCTCGTCGTCCTCACTCCCCTCCTCCCCGCCCTGCCCCTGCCCCTGCTGCGGCTGGTCCAGCAGCGAAGGGTCAGTGGTGGGATCGGCAGTGAGGAGATTGGAGGAGTGGCGCGGGGAGGTGGGGAAGCAGACGCGGGAGAGCGAGGTGGCAGCGAGAGTGGTGGGCGCGAGGAGCGTGAGGTTGAGGTCTGCGGCTGTGAGGTTGGTCACTCGCACCCGCACAGTCTGGAAGGGAAGAGAGGGAGGGCAGGGAGGGAAAGGAGGTGTTTTGTTTCTATGACTCAAAAGACCGACTCAAAAGACGGTGAGAATGAGGTTGAGGGTTTGTCTGACTGAGGCTGTGAGGTTGGTCACTCGCACTTGCACAGCCCGGATAGATTTTTGAGAATTCTCGAAAGTGTCTGGATGAGAGGGCAGGGGTGTAGGCAAGATGAACGTGGCATGAATCACAGTAAGAAAAGCAAGACGCATGCATGGATTGTGGGCGGGAAGACAGGGCAAAAGGAGCTGACCAGCGGCCTTTGAGACTGCTCAACAGACGGTGGGGGAACAACGAGACTGACCAGAGGCCGGGAGCACTGGCCAGAAGCGGGCGGAGCAGCAACGAGCGTGCCATCAGGGAGAGTGTGCACATGCGAGGAGGAAGCAGCGGCAGCGGAGGAGGCCATCGTATCCGTGGAAGCAGGGACGAGGGAGGAGGAGGTAGAGGTAGAGGAAGAAGAGGAGGTGGAGGAGGAAGAGGAGGAGATGTTGTCTGGGGAGATGGAGAGGAGCAGGTCCCGAGGGGGGCGCGGCCGCCATGCGAGAGGGTGGCGGTATCGCAGCTGGGCAGCTGGATGGAGGGGTGGGGTGTGGTGGAGTGGGATGGGTTGGGATGGGATGGGATGGGATGGGTTGGGATGGGATGGGATGAGATGGGATGGGATGGGATGGGATGGGATGGGATGGGATGGGATGGGATGGGATGGGATGGGATGGGATGGGATGGGATGGGATGGGATGGGATGGGATGGGATGGGATGGGATGGGGTGGGAGTGGGTGGACCAGAAGGTGCGATTGGGTTACGCGGAAGAAGAACAAGGGAAAGAGCATGTGTCTTGGTTAACCAAGTACTCTTGAAAAAACAACGGGCGAACGATGAGCAACGAGAGGTGAACGACGAGAGATGGGAGCGAGCACCCCATAAAAACGCGCCAGCTGCAATCCAGCCACAAACACACGCACACACACACACACACACACACACACACACACACAAGCACCCAAACGCCCCAATGGCAAACCAGCCACACCTGTGTGTGAGCAGCTGCAGCTGATGATGAGTGAATACTCGGGAGAAGAATCCACCGGCATGTCCTCCCCTCTGACTCCTCCTCCAAAGCCGGAAAATTCTTCTCCGCCAACTGGGAGAACGGAAACTAGTCTTGACCCGACTCAGAAGACGCACCTGTGTGTGAGCAGCTGCAGCTGATGATGAGTGAGTACTCGGGAGACGAATTCACCTGCATGTCCTCCCCCTCCGACTCCTCCTCCAAAACCGCTGCCTTCTCATCCGATCGTCCAAACGAAAAAGGCATAACTTCTGAGTCGACTGAAAAGACGCACCTGTGTGTGAGCAGCTGCAGCTGATGATGAGTGAATATTCTGGCGAAGAATCCACCGGCATGTCCTCCCCCTCCGACTCCTCCTCCAAAACCGCTGCCTTCTCCGTCAACCGTCCGAACGAGAACGCTGCCGCAAGCGAGTTGCTCGAGCCCTCGTTCCCTCCTCCCGACAGTGGGCCCCCTTTGGCACTCCCTCCTCCTCCCCCTCCTGCTCCTCCTCCGCCTGGTCGTCTGCCCCGCCCGCCTGCGTCCTTGTTTGCTCCGGAAGGGGCCTTGACGATCTGTGCGTTGCCGGAGCACTGTGGAGTGATGATGAAAGAATGCTGCTCGCCGGGCCTGGATGGGAGAAGGGAGGAAGGAAGGAAGGGAGGAAGGAAGGAAGGGAGGGAGGGAGGAAGGAAGGAAGGGAGGAAGGAAGGAAGGGAGGGAGGGAGGAAGGGAGGAAGGAAGGGAGGAAGGAAGGGAGGGAGGGAGGGAGGGAGGGAGGGAGGGAGGGAGGGAGGGAGGGAGGGAGGGAGGGAGGGAGGGAGGGAGGGAGGGAGGGAGGGAGGGAGGGAGGGAGGGAGGGAGGGAGGGAGGGAGGGAGGGAGGGAGGGAGGGAGAAGGGGAGGGAGGGAGGGAGGGAGGGAGGGAGGGAGGGAGGGAGGGAGGGAGGGAGGGAGGGAGGGAGGGAGGGAGGGAGGGAGGGAGGGAGGGAGGGAGGGAGGGAGGGAGGGAGGGAGGAAGGAAGGAAGGAAGGAAGGAAGAAAGGAAGGAAGGAAGGAAGAAAGGAAGGAAGGAAGGAAGGAAGGAAGGAAGGAAGGGAGGAAGGGGAGGGTTGGAAACAGGGAGAGAAATGTCTAAGAGATGAGAGAGAGCTTTGACGATCCATGTGTTCCCGAGCACTGTGGCGTGATGATGAAGGAGTGCTGCTCGCCCGGCCTGGATGGCGGAGGGAAGAAAGGAAGGAAGAGGAGGGTTGGACGGAGGGAAATAAACGTCTCCAGACTGTGCTCACGCTGATGCATACCCTTGTAGGCCGCACCGCAACTCTTAAGAATCTCCTGAACCCCTCGAGAAACACCCACGACCAACCGACCGCCTCTCCCGCCCTGGCGCCCTCTCCCCGCTTCCTCCCCCTCCCCCTATTCCCCCTTCACACGCTGGAAAACAACGACCAAGCCCGCCCACCTGTTGCGTACCGGAGGGGCAGGCCTGGAAGGGCCTCCTTGCTGGATCCGCTCTCGAGGCGGGCGACGTGCACGGGGAGGGACTGCTGCGCACGCACCGCGACTCTAAAGAATCTCCTGGTCCCCTCGAACACAAACTCACGACCCGACTCCCCTGCCCTACCGCCCTCTCCCCCCTTCCTGACCCCCCCTGCTGCAAGAACGCCCGGAAAAACACCGACAAAGACACACGATGGAAAGGGAAAGGATCATGCGTACCGCAGGGGCAGGCCTGGGAGGGCCTCCTTGCTGGAACCACTCTCGAGGCGGGCGACGTGCACGGGGAGGGACTGCTGCAGCGACATGGAGACCGAGGAGCGCGCCTCCAGACTTATGCTGTCCACGTAGAGGATCACGCCCGCTGTTGCTCCCTCGCGTGGCAATATGTTCTGCAGGCGGAGCGGACAGAGGTGGGGGAGGGGTGGAGGGTTGGCACTTGTGCGTGGTGCGACATGGACACGGAGGACCGCGCCTCCAAACTGATGCTGTCCACGTACAGAATCACACCCGCTGTCGCCCCCTCACGCGGGAGAACGTTCTGTGGGAGGAGGGAGACAAGAGGGGTGGCATGCCAAAGGGCGGGGAGGGGGTGGGGGGAGATATGGCACTTGTGGGTTGAAAGAGGAGGTGACTTGACCGTGCCTCCAGACTGATGCTGTCCACGTAGAGAATCACGCCCGCTGTTGTCCCTCATGCTGTCAACCATGACGTATATCACATCCTCATGCCCACACTCTGCTGTGTAGCTCTCCACGCCACGCCCATTGACACGCCTGAAAGTACACACTGGCTGAACATAAGAGACTGGATATCACAAGCACTGACTCACCTCCACCATAACGCAAATCACATCCTCATGCCCGCATTCCGCCGTATAGCTCTCCACACACAGCGGCTGCAGCACCCGTACGCCCCGCACCCACTTCCGCCCCGGCACAAACGGCCCCAGCCGCCCACAATTCCCACTGAATCTCTGCGGCTCTAGAGGCACCCCTCGGAACGATAACAGCCCCTCCCACCCCACCGCGCCCGTCTCATGCGTCCCCCATGCCAACCCGCCTAAAACCGTCCCCCCTCCCGCGCCCCCGGCTCCCCCCGCATCGTCTCGGAACGTTGAGGAGGTGCGTTTCTTGGGGGAATTGGACGGGGAATTCCCTGTTGTGGCAGCAGTGCTGACTGCTGCTAGGGCGGAGGAGGAGGAGGAGGAGGAGGCGGAAACGCGCGGGAGGGAGAGAGAGAAGCCAACTGGCGTGCTAGGGGCGACCGAGGGGGTAGGGGGAGCAGCAGAGGTGAAATTGAAAGCGGATGGGGTACCCCAACCAGAGGTGGCGACGGCAGGGAGAGGAATGGTAGGTCTGGCTGCGGCAGCAGGGGACGGAGTGGTGGAGTTGGGAGGAAGGCGCTCCAAGGGGAAGAGCCAGAAGAGCAGATCTTGGGATTCTTCCAAGGACCCTGATACTGCTCCTGCTGCTGCTCCTCCTCCTCCTCCTCCTCCTCCTCCTCCTCCTCCTCCTCCTCCTCCTCCTCCTCCTCCTCCTCCTCCTCCTCCTCCTCCTCCTCCTCCTCCTGCTGCTGCTCCTGCTGTTGCTACACCACGGCCGCCGGCAGCAGCAGCAGGCATGGGAGAGAGGGTTTTCTCGTGGTGTTCCGACCCAGGAGCAGAACCACCATCGGCAGAAGCAGCAGCAGCAGCGTCAGAACCATCACCAGCAGCAGCAGCAGTGCCATCAGCAGCAGCAAGAGCAGGGGCGGGTGGAGGGGCGGAGGGGGGTCCGAAGGGCATGGGGAAGCGCTCGAACTGGCGGATCTCGAGAGTGGCGTCTGGGATGAGGGCTGTGGTGGACACCGCCACTTCCAGCAGCACCTGTTGTGATGCATGGGAACATGTGTGATGTATGGGAGGGGTGTGCAGGTGATATTAAGTTAGCTTTAAGAAGCGCTCGAACTGGCGGATCTCGAGATTGGCGTCTGGGATGAGGGCTGTGGTGGACACCGCCACTTCCAGCAGCACCTGTTGTGATGCATGGGAACATGTGTGATGTGATGTATGGGAGGGGTGTGCAGGCGGTAATAGATTCAGTTTGTGGCATCTCAAAACGGGATCTCGAGAGTGGCGTAGGGGATGAGGGCAGTGGAGAACTTGGAAGGAGCAAACAGAGGGAGGCATGGGAGGAATGGGAGGCACGGGAGGCATGGGGGGCATGGGAGACATGGGGGGAAAGGGGGGAAGGGGGGATGGGGTCAGGGGGGCACGGCGGCATGGGGGGCACGGAAGGCATGGGAGGCATGGGGGGCATGGGGGGCATGGGGGGGCATGGGGGGCACGGGGGGCATGGGGGGAAGGGGGCGTTGGGGGGCATGGGGCGTTGGGGGGCATGGGGGGCATGGGGGACATGGAGTACGAACCACGACGTCCCCATTGGGTAGGGAGCTGGTGGAGACAACACGCCTGCCCAGCCCTGCTGCTGTGGCGGGGTCGTATCCTGCAATGTCCGCTGGCACCGGCATCACCCCATACGCACTTGGGGACTGCGCTGCTTCCCTCCCCGCCTGCTGCTGCTGCTGCTGCTGGTTAGGTGGCCTGGTGGAGGAAAACGGTTGATGGGGAATGGAGAGAATGGGCAGAACACGGGGAGGAAAGAGGGAGGGAGGTTGGAAAAAGGGGGGATGACGTGAGGAAGAATGGATTGAGGAAGAATGGAGAGGGGGGGTGGGAGGGGTTGAAGGGGGGGAGGGGGGGTGAGGGAGGGGAGAGGGAGCGAGGATGAGTGGAGAGGGAGGAGATGGGTGGACAGGACGAGGCAATTTACCCTTAGGCGACTTTCTACTCGACTCATAACTTACCTTGAAGCGGCTGGGATGGGCTCGCTCAAGTGCACATCGTACAGCGACCGCCGTGCTATCTCCAGCAGCTCGTTCGTCCTCTGCTGCCGCACCTCCCCATCCTCCCTCCCTCCCACGCTCACCCTCCCTCCGCCGCTCAACGCCACTACCGCACTCAACCCATCTGCAGCTACCACAGCGGATCCCTCGCCTTCCTCTCCTTCCCCACCTCCCTCCATCCCACGATCGGACTCAAGACCTGCCCCTCCCTTGGCTGGGCTCTCGGAGTCTCCCCCTAATCCCGACCGCCCAATCCGCCCCTTCCCCGCGCGCAGCCCCACCCCCCGCCGCGCATCCTCCCCCCACGTCCCCCCACCGCTTCCGCTCACGCCTATCGCCGCTCCCGAGCCTCCGGACGGTATGGACTGGTGGTACGGCTGCTGCCCGTTGCTGTCCCGAGCCTCGCCGGGAAGCTCAGCAAGCGGAGGTTCGGAGAAGGAGGGGTGGGTGAAGGGATCGATAGGGGTCCTGTGAACGACGACCTGCAGCAGCTCCCCCGGAAAGATGAAATCGCGCGTGTAGGGCAGCAGCGCTGACGCGGCGGATAGAGACGAGAGGTCCGTGTTCAGAGACCCTGTAGGGGGAGGTTGTTTGAGGGGTGTGAGGGGTTGTGTGTGGGATGTGGGAGGAGGGGAGTGAGGAAGGGGAGAGGGTGAGGAAGCGATAAGAAGACCTGCAACAGGGAAGATAAAATTGCGCGTGTATGGCAGCAGTGCTGACGCGGTGGATAGAGACGAGAGGTCCGTGCTCAGGGACACTGTGGGATGGTCGTTTGAGTGCATTTAGGGGGAATAACGGTGAGTTGACGTAACATGAAAAGTACGTGAACGGTGGATGACGTGAAGTATTTGTTTTGCCATGTCGTCTTCGCTCCTTAGCCGTCTGGCCGAGCAGTCACCAAGTTAGCTTACGATTTCTAGTGGTCCATCTTACGACGCAATAGCAATTGCCCGAATAAGGGATGGTCATTAGTTGAAACTTCATCTTACCGCGCAAAATAGCCACTCCCCCCTCCGAAGGCGCCACGGGCGCATGGTTTTCCAGCGGCATGCGCGTGCGCACGCGCCGAGCCTCCCCCCCCATGCCCCCCGCGCTTAGCCCGGACATAGCCCCCCCTCCGCCGTAGCTGCTCGAGCGCCCGGCTTGCCCCGACCCTCCGCCGCTGTGCTCAATGTCAGGCTCGCTGGAAACGCTAAGGAGCGGGGAGCTGGGACGACGGGAGTTGAGTCCTCCGGCTGGCGAATCGGCGGCGGAATCGGCGGTGGAGGAGAGGAGGGAGGAGGCATCGGTGAAGGAGAGATGGCGCGAGCCGAACATGGCTCAGCCTGGATTGGCGGGGGAGAGCAGGGGGGTGGAGGAGAGGAGAGGAGAGAGGAGAGGAGAGGAGAGAGGAGAGGAGAGGAGAGAGGAGAGGAGAGGAGAGGAGAGAGGAGAGGAGAGGATAGGAGAGAGGAGAGGAGAGGAGAGGAGAGGAGAGGAGAGGAGAGGAGGGACGTTGGGGTTGGGACCGGGAAAGAGAGGATGGACGGGAACGAGATGAGGAATGGGTCAGAAGAAAACATGGTCGATAAAGGGGGAAATCGGAGATTGAAAGACGGAATCAGATGTGTGCAAGCAGGCTTCGCTTAATCGAAGCTATGGAGAGGAATCATGGGACAATGTCGACGCATTCCCGAACGCAAGGGAGCTACAGTGTGTGTTGCGAGCAATGCCGACAATACGGTAACGAAAGACGCCACGCGACAATAGCAATGCTCCGATAATAAGGAACACAAACGCCGGAGGGGGTAAGCGAGATAAGAAAGGCGATAAACGTCTCTGGAAAAGAGCGACGCAATGGACGCACCTACAAACCCTCACGCCGAGCGATTTTTAATCGACGGCGTGAGCTAGCGAGGTCCGTCCAGATCGCGAAACGAGCGACGACGAACGCAACAAGGGGACGATAATAACGCGGATTACGGTGGAAAGCGGAGATTGAATCATGGAATGAAGTGCCTTGAGATCAGGCAGCCATTTCGGGGACAGGTAGAAACTGCTGTTGAATCAGCAACAGTCACGGACAGCGAAAAGGTGATGCAGCTGATCCAGCAGATGGATGCTGAGAGGGTCACAGATTGATCAATAACGAGTAGAATCTAAGCGGGTACAACATGGATTGAAGTACTGGGCCATCAATTTGCATTTATAATAAAGCTGAACTCGGCTTGCTCTTTCAAAGTTCCACACCAGGAGACACCAAATCAGCAGCGACCAATGTGGCACTTTCATCTACAAGAATATCCAGCAGGTCTAAATAATAGCTCTAACAATTGTAAATCACATCGTTGCCTCTTCAAATGGCTTGCCACCCACGGGTACGGAAAACTGCAAAGCAGGGACATAAAACGGTGAAAATAAGCAAGCTGAAATGGTCTGAGATATTGCGTGCGAAATGAAGGACGATACACATAACCATAAAAAAGGATACTTACTTTTGGGGGTCTTGAAAATTTTAGATGAAATGCTGGATATTTCTCGGGTGGCGTTTAGTCCTGCTATCTTGACACGCCTCACTGCAAGAAGATTGAGCCATGTCCGCATCAGCCACATCCTAGTAAAAATACAGGAAAACTGCAACAGTTCAGCTGCACACCATCAGCCATGGTAGTAAACTCACAGGCTCGTTGGAAGGGGTTAGAGGAGGACTTCGGTCGAGGAATTAATTGCTTTGACGCAGATCCTTGAAGCTTTTGGTACCTGCGGTGCCTCTGAAAACAAGCAATGGGTCCGTATTAGACACAAACGACGAAAAGGTCACATTACATCAAACAATAGAGAAGCAGGACATCTTATCATACCTCTTGTGCCAATGAGTCAAAATGCTGGTCATGCACACCATTCAGCTTGAACGGATCCTGGTCGGTGTTCGTGGGAATGTCTTCCCATTCCACTTCACGTAAATCCTGCTGCAGCTTGGCTGGTGAGCGGACCTTAGGCGACAAGTCGTGTGAGATGGACCCAATTGTGGTCTTAACGTCACAGTTCCATCGCTTGACTGAATCAACCTCAGGACTTTTGCTGGCGATGCTCTCTTTCTTCGCATCCCGTGATAACCAGTCCGAGAAGGAAGTAGATCGGCAGGCCTTGTCCAGAGCCTTGATTGGAAACTTGCTGGGAGACAGACCCCAGTCTGTGGAGGGCCGTCGTGGGCTCGAGTTCAGTCCCAGCTGCTGTGACTTCAAAGTCAGGGAGAGGGCTCGATTCTTTACAAACAGGTCATCATCAGCATCACCACAACAATTCTCCTTGTCAGAATCAAAGCCATCTCGGTTTGGGGAGCTTGGTGGCATCTGTCTCCTGGTGAACCCATCAGGATTCCGCTGAGGGGTACGGTTTCCTCGCTTAAATCGTGGAGACTGCATCGTCCTTCGCGTCTTCGAGCTCGCTGGACGGCGAGAGAGCATTTGAGGTGCCTTACTGTCACGTCCACCAGAGATCAACAGGACCTTATCATGATTGCAACCCTCTTCCTCCGAGAACACCACTGAGGTTTTCCTCTCAAGAGAGCGGGCAGAGGCCGAGCATTTTGGCGAAGCAGCAGGTTTGACGTTGATGTCCCCATCATATCCTGGGTCCGCATCTGGAACTTCAGACCGAGTGTCTTTGTCGTTGGTCCCAGATTCCAAAATGCTCAGGTTCATGGAGAAGTTATCGAATTCAGACAAGGAAGAAGGTGACTTCTCGGCAGAAACTCGTGGAAAGGCCTCGTAAGCTGTCACGCTGAACGATGCCTTGAGATCCCAGGCACCTCCAGTCATACCAACACAGTCCTCGAGAAAACGATTCATCTGCTCACGCTTCCCTTCCTGTGGAAACTCAACTCCAAGTGAAGCCATGGCACCAAGGGACTTCAAACACCACACTAACTTCTTGAACTGATTCTGTGTCGATGCAAGCGTACTAGCATGCAGTCATCGCCGCTTACACTTGCAGCTGAATCCGGAACCGGAATCCCCTCGTTCAGCCTCGGAAGACCATTCCATACCATCAATAGCGACCCAGGAGGCTCCATCCTGTCAGACCAAGCGGCGAGATTTTCGCGTCTCGGTCATGTCTAGCTTGTGGTTGATGTCGGCAGCCGTAACAGGGCAATGTGACCTGTGTCGAGACTCCCTTTGTCCCTCGAGATTTGCGGGTGAAGCTTTTGAGCGCGGATCGATGTTCTGCAAACTCGTTTACGTCATGAGTTTCGGAGAAATATCAAGCAACCTCAAATATTTCCTTATTGTAAGGAATTTTCTCGATATTCCTTAGCGCGCCCTGCAACATCGCGTACAGCAGCAGCCGTTGTTCGCCCGTTACTGCTAACGAGACTTCTTCGCGCGCACTGTTTCACCAAACCTCGCACTGCTGGCCCGGCCGTGTCGGCCTACGCTTCGGGACTAGCCCGAGCCTCGCTGCCAGCGTAGCACTAGGTAGCTCGCACGCACCGCGTTACCATTTGCATGTTTCGCGTATAAATATTCGCTCATGCCCTCGCTCACATTTTGTACTCGTTTGACACCTCAGTGCAATTTTCGCTACCTCGATTCATTGCACCCGTAACACTTGGTATTCAGAGCCTCTTTCTCTTCAGACCGCGCATCTCCGCACCCCAGGAAATCAACTTTTGTTTTTTCACTCGAAGGGACTCACGCACCTTAGCCCCTAGGAGCCGCTGTCCTCACGTTCTCTCGTAAACGCGTGCAGCCACGACTGCGCCTAGACTAAGCCGAGCCGACGTCCTTCGTAATGGCTGAGCATATCGATGTCGCCACTCTCACGCAAGAGCACTTGAACGAACTGCTGCGGCAAATTCGCAAAAGCTCTGAAGAAATCGCGGCGCTGACGGCAGAACGCACATCCCTGCAAAACGACATCGCGAGAGCACAGCAAACACAATCCCAAGCACCTGGCACTCCGATACAGCCCGCACCACAGACATCGCAACACGGAAGCGTGGGGCAACCCGCGAGCGCGGCCAGTGATGGCGTCGTCCGCCACGACGGAGACGACGACCACAGCACGACACACCCCGACGCCTCCGTCGGAAAACGGGGATGAATGAACTAGCAAGCAGGTGGGTACAAGTAGGAAAACCTAAAAGTGTTGTACCCCATATTGTCTACCCCACTACAGCCTACACAGACTATAGCATATGAGTTTGACACACCCCCATAGGAAAAGTGGGGGAGAACAAGAGGTCACAAGACCAGTCAAGCAAAGCAAAGCAAGCTCAGGGTGGATCACAACGTCACCACACATTCCGAGCACAAGTTCAAGGCCAAAAGGCCAGTTCACATGCAAGATTATATATAAAGGTAAACAAGCAAGTGCAGGTATAGACAGATCACAGTACAAGCAAGGTCAAGAAGTGAGCAAGTGTGGCCAAGTAGGCACAAGACCTAGCATCGTATAGAATCGCTGATGATCACAAGGCGAAAGTGCCTTGGTAAAGATATCACCAGTGTTGGCCTCAGAGGCCACGTAAGCAAGGCGCAGCTGACCACGCTGCTGCAGCTCACGAGCAAGGAAGTAGCGAAGAGCAATGTGCTTCGTTCTGTGCTCCAGTCTGTGCTCCCGACACAAGGCCAGCGTGGCCTTGTTGTCTACGTACAGAACTGGAGGAGAACGAGGCGGCACTCCTAGGTCAGTCAGCAGGTAGGTGAGCCAGCGTAGCTCCTGTGCAGCCATGGCCCCCGCGTAGATCTCAGCCTCACAGCTGGAGCCGAGAACAGAAGACGAACGGGTAGACCGCCACGAAACAGAGCCGGAACCAAGGCTGAAGGTGTAACCCTGTGACGACCGCTGCGTAGCCTGGTCGTCAGCCCAAGAAGCGTCTGCGTGACCTGTGAGGACCACTGGACGTCGCCCTCTAAGCACTAGCCCCATGCCCGACGTACTGCACAAGTAGCGCAACACCCTTTTCGCTGCAGCCATGTGCTCTGGTCGGTGTCTCCCAAAAGCAACATAGCGTGCCAAGATGCTAAGAGGGTATGCAAGGTCAGGTCGTGTGCAGGTCATCAGGTACATGAGGCAGCCAACAAGCTCTGGGTACGGGCCACTCGGCTCTACGGACTCATCCGAAGGCAGAGCTGAGAGCGAGTGGCGAGTAGACAGAGGAGTGGCCTGAGGCGAGGAGTACGTGAAGTCGAAGCGCTGAAGGACCTGCTGCACCATGTGTGACTGAGTCAGGGTAATGGTGCGCTGTGCTCTGTCCCGGGTGATCTGCAAGCCAAGGTAGCTGCGCAGTTCACCCAGGTCTGTGCACGTGTGTCTCTTCTGCAGCTCGGACTTCACGTGGGCGAGTCCAGCAGTGTCAGCAGTGGCAAAGACCAAGTCGTCGACGTACACGAGGATGTAGAACGGCGGCAAAGAGGTGTCGGTGCGCAGAAACAGCGACGGGTCGGCTGTAGAAGGAGCAAACCCAAGAGCCGCAAGTGTAGTCCTCAGTGTGTCGTGCCACTCACGGGGCGCATGGCGGAGACCGTAGACTGGCCGCCGGAGGCTCCACTGGGTACCAGGAGGAAACGACCCAGTGAAGCCAGGTGGGCGGCGCAGCCAGATCTCCTCGTGCAGGCTGCCCTGCAGGAAAGCTGTGCTGAAGTCAAGAGAGTGAAGCTCGTAGTCGCGCTGAGCGGCTATGTGCAGCAGCACCCGAAGAGTGGTCATCTTCGGGGTGGGAGAGAAGGTCTGAAAGTAGTCAACTCCCTGCCGCTGACTGAAGCCTCGAGCCACGTAACGCGCTCTGTGGACTTCCAGGAAGCCATCTCTGCGTCCATGGCTGACTGCCACTGTGAGGAGTAGGGACCCTCGATCGCCTCAGCGTACGATCGAGGAGTCGGGATGTCTGGTGCATCCGGGTCTCCCTCAGGGGCAATCAGCGTGGACATGAGATGAGGCAAAGCAGCAGCAAAACACTGGAACTCCTCCTGCCTGTCCTCAAGGACGTGCGTGCTAAGAGCACACTCACCCCCGACGGACGGAGGACAGACAGACTCAGACTCAGCAACGAGACTAGCGGCGTAGTCTAGACGACAGCGAGCAGCAAAGTCGACAAGCTCAGAAACTATGGCAGACGCAGCAGTGGACTCAAAGGAAGGGTCAGTGACAACAGTGGCCAGGAGACGCGTGACAGTAGGACTGGCAGCACGAAGAGAGTCAGACTCCGGGTCAGCAAGAACAGGAAGAGAGGACTCTGGAGGAGACGGCAACGGGACACGCAGAGGAGCAGTGGAAGGACGCAGTGCCATCTGGTGTGTGCCTGGGACCGCAGGAGGACGCGGACGCGGAGCACGACCACTAGTGCGAGCAGCACGAACAGGCGACGCAGGACGAGACGCAGGCTCACGACGCTCAGCAAGACCTCCAGTAGGACTAGTGTAGGGAGAAGGAGCAGGTAGGGGGGAGGCGGGCTGTAACTGTGACCGCGGCTGGACAGGCCGTGGACACTCTAAGGGAGGAGCAGGACCAGTAGAGGGCGGGAGACCAAGAACCTGATCAAGGAGCGGAACGAAGTACGGCCTCGGCCGCGCAGCGCCTCCAGAACCAGCAGGGACAGCACCAGTACCCCCAGCGGCAGCACCAGCGCCAGCAGCACCTCCAGCTCCAACAGCGCCAACTACAGCACCCTCAGAAGCACCAGCGCCAGCAGAACCACCAGCGCCAACACCCCCAGCAGCTCCAGCTCCAGCAGCTCCAGCAGCACCAACTCCAGCAGGACCGTCAGCTCCAGTACCGCCAGCAGCTCCAGCAGTACCTCCAGCAGGACTAACTCCAGCAGCCCCAGCAGCACCCCCAGTCCCAGCAGCTCCAGTACCGCCAGTACGAGCACCTCCAGGACCAGCAGCAACAGTAGTACCTCCAGCTCCAGCAGCACGGCTCCAGCGCCGGGCAAACCACTCGCGCAGCTCCTGCGGAGAGAGTAGCTCCCGCCTCGACGAAGCACCGCCAGAGGCCACATGAGCAGACCCAGCACCCCCAGGCTCCGCACCCCCAGGCTCCGAACCCCCAGGCTCAGCACCCCCAGGCTCTGCACCCCCAGGCTCAGCACCCCCAGACTCAGCACCCCCAGGCTCAGCACCCCTAGACTCAGCTCCCCCAAGCTCCGCACCCCCAGGCTCAGCACCCCCAGACCCGGCACCCGCAGGCTCAGCGCCCCTAGCAGCACCAGAGTCAACAGCTACCTCGATAGGCTCGACTGCGTCTACCTGGGACACACCTGACGGGGCAGGACCCTGAGGGGGGAGAGGGTCTACCGGGGGAGGACCTGTCGCAAGGAAGAGCGGCGGCGGGGGGAGGGGCGCAGTGC